TTTTATCTCAGGAACTAAAAGTGCAAATGAGCTGAAATTTTCAGGGATTGTAGTCCTTTGAAAAGGATAATTTTCAGTAAAAGATTCAGCTTTCTATCTATAATAGAAAAAAAGTTATGACATTTCAAAGTTTTCCAAAAAAATCATAAGGTAGCTACCTTCTTTCTAAAACGATGAAATTTCAAATTTTTTTTTGTCGAGATTTTGTTTCCTACTGGTCCTTCGTGATACCCTGAACTCCATAAACTAAATTATTCTCAGATTTGAAGCCGAAATCTATGAAAAAAGGCACTCAGAAAAATTGAAAAATTGATAAATCACCCCAATTGCTTAACACGATTTTATCTCAGGAACTAAAAGTGCAAATGAGCTGAAATTTTCAGGGATTGTAGTCCTTTGAAAAGGATAATTTTCAGTGAAAGATTCAGCTTTCTATCTATAATAGAAAAAAAGTTATGACTTTTCAAAATTTTCCAAAAAAATCATAAGGGGGGTACCTTCCTACTAAAACGATGAAATTTCAAATTTTTTTTTGTCGAGATTTTGTGTCCTATTGGTCCCTCGTGATACCCTGAACTCCATAAACTAAATTATTCTCAGATTTGAAGCCAAAATCCATGAAAAAAGGCACTCAGAAAAATTGAAAAATTGATAAATCACCCTAATTGCTTAACACGATTTTATCTCAGGAACTAAAAGTGCAAATGAGCTGAAATTTTCAGGGATTGTAGTCCTTTGAAAAGGATAATTTTCAGTGAAAGATTCAGCTTTCTATCTATAATAGAAAAAAAGTTATGACATTTCAAAGTTTTCCAAAAAAATCATAAGGTAGCTACCTTCTTTCTAAAACGATGAAATTTCAAATTTTTTTTTGTCGAGATTTTGTTTCCTACTGGTCCTTCGTGATACCCTGAACTCCATAAACTAAATTATTCTCAGATTTGAAGCCGAAATCTATGAAAAAAGGCACTCAGAAAAATTGAAAAATTGATAAATCACCCTAATTGCTTAACACGATTTTATCTCAGGAACTAAAAGTGCAAATGAGCTGAAATTTTCAGGGATTGTAGTCCTTTGAAAAGGATAATTTTCAGTAAAAGATTCAGCTTTCTATCTATAATAGAAAAAAAGTTATGACTTTTCAAAATTTTCCAAAAAAATCATAAGGGGGGTACCTTCCTACTAAAACGATGAAATTTCAAATTTTTTTTTGTCGAGATTTTGTGTCCTATTGGTCCCTCGTGATACCCTGAACTCCATAAACTAAATTATTCTCAGATTTGAAGCCAAAATCCATGAAAAAAGGCACTCAGAAAAATTGAAAAATTGATAAATCACCCTAATTGCTTAACACGATTTTATCTCAGGAACTAAAAGTGCAAATGAGCTGAAATTTTCAGGGATTGTAGTCCTTTGAAAAGGATAATTTTCAGTGAAAGATTCAGCTTTCTATCTATAATAGAAAAAAAGTTATGACATTTCAAAGTTTTCCAAAAAAATCATAAGGTAGCTACCTTCTTTCTAAAACGATGAAATTTCAAATTTTTTTTTGTCGAGATTTTGTTTCCTACTGGTCCTTCGTGATACCCTGAACTCCATAAACTAAATTATTCTCAGATTTGAAGCCGAAATCTATGAAAAAAGGCACTCAGAAAAATTGAAAAATTGATAAATCACCCTAATTGCTTAACACGATTTTATCTCAGGAACTAAAAGTGCAAATGAGCTGAAATTTTCAGGGATTGTAGTCCTTTGAAAAGGATAATTTTCAGTAAAAGATTCAGCTTTCTATCTATAATAGAAAAAAAGTTATGACATTTCAAAGTTTTCCAAAAAAATCATAAGGTAGCTACCTTCTTTCTAAAACGATGAAATTTCAAATTTTTTTTTGTCGAGATTTTGTTTCCTACTGGTCCTTCGTGATACCCTGAACTCCATAAACTAAATTATTCTCAGATTTGAAGCCGAAATCTATGAAAAAAGGCACTCAGAAAAATTGAAAAATTGATAAATCACCCTAATTGCTTAACACGATTTTATCTCAGGAACTAAAAGTGCAAATGAGCTGAAATTTTCAGGGATTGTAGTCCTTTGAAAAGGATAATTTTCAGTGAAAGATTCAGCTTTCTATCTATAATAGAAAAAAAGTTATGACATTTCAAAGTTTTCCAAAAAAATCATAAGGTAGCTACCTTCTTTCTAAAACGATGAAATTTCAAATTTTTTTTTGTCGAGATTTTGTTTCCTACTGGTCCTTCGTGATACCCTGAACTCCATAAACTAAATTATTCTCAGATTTGAAGCCGAAATCTATGAAAAAAGGCACTCAGAAAAATTGAAAAATTGATAAATCACCCTAATTGCTTAACACGATTTTATCTCAGGAACTAAAAGTGCAAATGAGCTGAAATTTTCAGGGATTGTAGTCCTTTGAAAAGGATAATTTTCAGTAAAAGATTCAGCTTTCTATCTATAATAGAAAAAAAGTTATGACATTTCAAAGTTTTCCAAAAAAATCATAAGGTAGCTACCTTCTTTCTAAAACGATGAAATTTCAAATTTTTTTTTGTCGAGATTTTGTTTCCTACTGGTCCTTCGTGATACCCTGAACTCCATAAACTAAATTATTCTCAGATTTGAAGCCGAAATCTATGAAAAAAGGCACTCAGAAAAATTGAAAAATTGATAAATCACCCCAATTGCTTAACACGATTTTATCTCAGGAACTAAAAGTGCAAATGAGCTGAAATTTTCAGGGATTGTAGTCCTTTGAAAAGGATAATTTTCAGTGAAAGATTCAGCTTTCTATCTATAATAGAAAAAAAGTTATGACTTTTCAAAATTTTCCAAAAAAATCATAAGGGGGGTACCTTCCTACTAAAACGATGAAATTTCAAATTTTTTTTTGTCGAGATTTTGTGTCCTATTGGTCCCTCGTGATACCCTGAACTCCATAAACTAAATTATTCTCAGATTTGAAGCCAAAATCCATGAAAAAAGGCACTCAGAAAAATTGAAAAATTGATAAATCACCACAATTGCTTAGCACGATTTTATCTCAGGAACTATAGGTGTCAATGAGCTGAAATTTTCAGGGATTGTAGTCCTTTGAAAAGGATAATTTTCAGTGAAAGATTCAGCTTTCTATCTATAATAGAAAAAAAGTTATGACTTTTCAAAAAAGGGGGGTACCTTCTTACTGAAACGATGAAATTTCAATTTTTTTTTTGTCGAGAGAGGCAGTGGTTGTACACACTACTACACACTGAAAATCATCTGGCAACCTTGCCATCGGTCGGCTTTATTTCCATTATTAGAAATACATTATTATTATTGCATAGAATTTAGGCACATTTGATATAAATATAATAACATTATTTTGTTAAATCCCAATAATCCTCACTTTTTTGGAAAGAAAATGAAAAAACGAATCGAATACAACCAAAATTTTTCAAAAAAATCATTTTTGAGAAGTTACCTTATCTCAACCAGACCCGCCGTGTGCTTTATGGCTAAACTTTCTAATTATACCTTTCTACACGTAGATTTTTCTTTCCATATTGTTGGTAAATTTGGCTTATAAATATAATCCATTCTAATTATCGTTCTTAGCTTGCAAAAATTTAAATGAAATGGTGATTTTTTTTTTCCCTTTTGAATATTTATCTTGCCAAGTTTTAAGTTTTGTACCATTCCTTGTCTTTTTCAAGAGGAATCTCCATGGTAGAATTGGAAATAAAAGTTTCGCTATTGATGCTAGTCATGTCATAATTATAACACTAGAGCATAATAATATTTGTTTTCCGAGGCACAGGTTAACATTATTGGGAAAAACTCCATGTGACATGGGAATAAAACTTCTTAATACTAATCAATGAATTAAAAATAGACAGAAGAAAAAATGTTTGCAAGTAAACTGAAAAAGATACTTATTGTGTTGGAACCATATAGGTAGTACACAAGAATATTTGAATAATAGTAATGATATATAACTGGAAAGAATGTTATTATTCTGAGTAGCATTACCTATATGGTGTAAGGTCTTTTTTGTAACGCTATTTCATTTCATGGTTTATGTGTATATGTGTATATGTGTATGTTACATGTTACTGTAATCTGAAATAAAGTTAAAAATAAATAAATAAAATTGGACACAACGATTTTTAAAGCTAACTGAAATGCTCTGTTTTAAATAGAAACAGTCCGGTCGAGGACTGCGACTGATGGCATGTGACGTCAGTCGCAGTACTCTATTATCGTTATTTTGGCGAACGTAATGTCTTATAGGCCTGACTCGTCTATCTAGGGTGGATGCTCGCATGTATGTACGAATTATATTTTAATAAAAACCATAGATAAAAACACAAGAAAAACAATACGAAGCATAGCGTACCGGGGCTGTGGCGCACCCCAATATCCAATGGAACAACAAGAAAAACAAGAACAAAACCAAAACGAGTGTGTGTGCAAAAAGGACAGAAAACGATTCCGTCAACAGCTGTTGTCTGCTGGTCACTGTGAGCAAAATGCCAACAGAGTCACTGTAACGCAAACTAACGCAAACTACAGTGGCTAAATAAACCTTTACACACAGTGGCGACAATAGAGGTCCCGCCGCCATCTTGTTCCCAACCTCTTGTTACTTTTAAATATTATTATTTAGGATTTAAATGGACATCTATCATAAAAAATTGAAATCGACGTATTTGATGACCATTCTTAGGTCCATCAAATACGTTGTTTTCCATGATTTATGATGGATGTTCACATAAATCTCGTAGTATTCATATTTAAAATTAACAAGAGGTTGGGAACAAGATGGCGGCGTTTTCAATATAAATATATGGGATTCTAGAACCAATCAAAAATAAGACAGCAATTGTCGCCACTGTGGTAATAGAGTCACTGTAACGCAAACGAAAAGGTAGCGACATCTACCCACCAAAAAAAAAATTGTTAGAAAAAATCCTACAAGTTGTTTTTTTGCATTATATTTTCCTCTTTTCAGTTGTTGCCTACATTTATGGGCAAATTTTCTCCCGCCTAGCGACATTATTTTCCGTTCTCGTTCTCCCATCTCCCACCCAGTAGTTTCTCTATGGTCACAGTCGAGTGAGTATTCGATTTTCCTGCGCCTCTGTAGGGTCTACACATCTACAATCTACTCCCAAGTCCCAATCGTTGTCTCGAGTCCGAAATATCATCTGTCTACTATTGTGGATACTCAAGTTTTTAGCAGCAGATGTTTTGTGATTCCAACCAGAATTTGTGTACGTGTTGTTTTTGTTTGGTTGGGCTTCCTTTCCTTTAGCTCCGGGACGCAAAGGTGGAGGATTTCCCAACAATTGTTAAATAATTGTTATGACAATAGTAAAATACCAAAAACATGGGGATCGTATTGCCTCCATTGGAATTTACAGAGTGTCTTAGTGATAGCCCCTATTTTAGGGAGAATTTGCATAAACACGAAAGGGAATTGGAGAAAACTAATCAGCAGATCAAGAGAATTATTAAGGAGGTCAAAGATCTTTTAGGAGCTGCGAGACGTAAGTAAAAAACTCATTTACTTGACACTGATTCCTGATTCTCTAAAATCTCTAATTAATCCACTAGTATCTACAGTATCTAGTGCCCGAGGGGTTTTTCACCTAACAAAATGTGTACACCCATTAACAGTACTAACTGAGATATTTTCATGTCATGTATTACCAGATATTTCTATGTACCTAATCACAAGTTATTGCCAATATAGGTATTGACATATCCACAGGTATTTACATGTTATTGATAGGTCTGTTTCTGCAGAAATCACAAACCAGTCAGAGAGTCAGAGCGCATTTCATTGGTTGGAAACAGTCAGAAAATTAGTTTCTACCAATGAAATTCACTCTGATTGGTTTTTGATTTCTGCAGAAACAGACCCAATGTGTGGTATTAACTAATGATATTAACATATATTGTAGATATCTACAAGTATTGACATCTATTAACCTACATAATTAACACGTAGGTATTGCATAGTATTGATACTATTGACATAGTATTTACCTAGTATTGACATATATTAACTAGTGATTTGTACACCGATTAACAAGGTGAAAAACCCCTCGCTGGTGCCTATCCAGGTATGCACTAAAATATTGTAAATTGTAATTTGTTCCTGTTTCTGTTCCCCTACTCTATAGTATTTTAAAATGTATTCACCCTCTTTTGACTATCACCATAGAATAACTGTCACCACAAATCAATCATTCAAATGGATAATAGATACAGACAAATATCATTAAGGCCCGGTTTGTTCAACTAGGTTGTACAATTCTATTTCCTGTATAAACCCAGCGAGGGGTGTTTCACCTACCCAATGTGTATGGGGATTGCTGCGAACACTTCTGTCAATGCCGACAATCTCGCTATCAATGTCAAGAATGCCAACATCAATGCTGTCAATTCTGACATCAATTTCGACATCAATGCCGTCATTTCTTTCATCAATCCCGTCAATTCCGAAATCAATTCAATGCCGTCAATTCCGCGATCACTGCCTCAATTTCCCTTATTTATCTTTTCAATGCCCACAATTTCTAAATCATTACTCTCACTGCCGTAATCATTGCCGTGAATTTGTACACCAATGCCGATCATGAAACACCCCTTGAAACCCAGCTATAATATGGCTATGTTCACCAGAACCAAAACGGATTGTAAACAGTTTACAAATACCAACAGAATATGTTGGGTAAACTCTTGGTTCTGCTGAACGATTCAAATTTTCAATGATAGAACGTCACCTTCTGAATGACAGGTCACCACACAAAACAGAGTATTGACAATTTTAAACACTCTGAAATTATGCTTGCAAAAATGGCGACCGTTTGCAAAACATGTTTGGTTTTAACACAAATTCAACATAGCGTTCAGCAGAACAATCGCAAACCGTTTACCAACGTTTGTATCTGGTAAACGCGGCCATTATTGATAAATAGGTATAATATTTTATTACCGAGTTAATCATCTATTAAAAATATGTTTCAGATTTTAGATCTATCCGCCGATCTATCATCATTCAGCATCTAAACTCTTGCTTACCTTAAATTATTTTTATCTGATTAAAAATAGAGTACCTACTTACACCTACCTTCTTTCCTAAGTTTTAAGATAAATAAATATATTATCATGTTCATGTTACATAGGTAGGTAGGTAGGTATGCATCTGTATCTCAAATGGATTTCCTAGTGTTTCATTGAAATATAATAATCAAGGGTTAAGATGGCCTGCTTCATTTTAAATTCTTTCCACTGTATTTTCTATGGCAAAAAGTAGCAAATTGCTTCTTATTTGGTCAAAACTCAACATTATATTATTTAGGTAGGTACCCTCGGGTACGCACTACCTTATGATTTAGAATTTGGGAAACTTTAAAAGTTCATAATTTTTTTTCTGTTAAAGATAGACAACTGAAATTTCCAGCGATTCTTATCTCAGTAGAAGACTACAATTCCTGAAAATTTCAGCTCATTTGGACTCAAAGTTCCAGAAATAAAATCGTGTTAAGAAATTTGGGGTGATTTATCAATTTTTCAATTTTTCTGAGTGCCTTTTTTCATAGATTCCGACTCCTTATCACCAAATAATTTAGTATATGCAGGTTGGGGGATCTCAAAGGTAAGAAGGTAGCTACCTTATGATTTAGTTTTTGGAAAACTTTGAAAGGTCATAACTTTTTTTCTAATAAAGATAAAAAGCTGAAATTTTCAGTGATGCTTATCCCATTAGAAGACTATAATTCTTGAAAATTTCAGCTCATTTGGACTTATAGTTCCAGAAATGAAATTGTGTTAAGCAATTTGAGATGGTTTATCAATGTTTCAATTTTTCTGAGTGCCATTTTTCATAGAATCCGGCTCCAAATCTCAGAATAATTTAAAAATTTAAATGTATGGAGTTTGGGGGATCCCAAAGGAACATTAGGACACAAAATCTCAACAAAAAAAATAATTGAAATTTCATCGTTTTAGTAAGAAGGTTATGATTTGGATTTTTTTTTTTTTTTTCATAGATTCGGGTTCCAAATGTCAAAATAATTCTGTGTGTATGGAGTTTAGGGGATACCAAAGAACCATTAGGACATGAAATCCCAACAAACATTTTTTCAAAAATTCACCGTTTTAGTACTGAGGTACTCACAAGTAGATACCTATCGTGTTTGTCAACAGCTTTTCGATTCAATTTACCAAGGCAAAATACACGAGTTGCATAATTTCAAATTACTTGTTCTCATTGTTTTAATAATTATTATTTGTTGACATAAATACCTAGTTAGTAAAACAAATTGTTGCATATCAGTGGTTACATGCATGAAACATACAAAATTGATTCCTAATAAAATTAAACTCACTTTATACATTGGATAAAAATAGAATAATAGTTCCGTACCTATTTAATGTTTGATTTTTATTTTAAACTAAAAGTTAGGTGAGCATTATGGATTTTTCAACTTCAAAACATTTTTCTCTTGTGAGAAAGGTATTTTTGCCCAACACTCCAGCATTCATTCAATTTTTAAATATTTAATCCACTAAAATTATTTTCGACTAGTAGGTATTGTAATTTATAAATTTTGAAAGTTGAGAACAAAAATGACCCATTTAATAAGGCATTCTTATGTAGGGAGGAAACAGGCATTGGGGTTGAAATTGCATTGTTTTATTGATCTCTCCTAGCTTGGGACCCAGTGAGTCAATGACCCCGCACTCGAAATATATACAATGTAGGTATTTCAATTTCAAAACTAGAGGCAAACTTAAATGGCAAAATTTGATAATATTGAAATTTAAAAGCATATTGAACTAAATAGAAGTGGTGACTATTGATTTTTTTTTGCCAAATTATACTTTTAATTTTCAAATAAGTGTTTGAAACAGTTGTGGAAATATTATTTAGGTAAATTTGTTTCACAAACTAACCTCCTTTGCAGTACCTATTTTCAATACCTAGTGAAAAAGTGTACAGGGTATTTGATTATATTTGGACCCATACCTACAGCCTTTACTATCGAGTTTACTATTTAAGATAGAAAAAAATTTTAAATACAAAACTTGACACAGAGTTTTTTCATATCACCGACCCTCATCGAGAAAAAAATTAAAAAACAAATATCTGTAATTAGCTATGTAGATGAAACTGAAGGGACTCAATAAACCTTTACTACCTACAGTGGCAACAATAAAGGTCCCGCAGCGATATTCTTGCTCATTTTCAATATGAATACATTAAAATCAATACCCTGTTGATTGGTAACAAAGCGTTTGCGGACCTATGTTGATAAGAAATTTTGTTCATAAAATAAACCCCCTTCCGTTTGTACATGATATTTAGGAACACCTTGTATATTTGGAATGAGGGAGAAAAGATCTTTCATTTCATCGCATGATATACAGGGTGTTCCATTAAAAAACGTCGAAGTTGCCTATGTTTCCCCATTTTCCGATTCGATTCTGTTTTTTCTGATACTGTTAAAAGAAAATATAAAAAAACAACTCAAATTTTGTATTTTAAATTTTTTTCTATCTCAAACTCAATCTTAAATAGTAGAGGCTGTAGGTATGGGTCCAAATATATTCAAATACCCTGTACATTTACAATCAATAAAAACCTTATCTATCAATTTAAAATGCCTAATTAAGTAGTTTAATTAAAAGGAGTTCGTTTGTTGTAGAACTGGGAGAGGCACAAAAATCTTTTGCCAATTGCTTGAAAGGGTTCACTTTTGAAACTATTGGTGGAACCCAGACTGATGATGAATATACCATATGTAACTCGTTGAAAAACTTTAGCGAACTGATACTTCAAGTTGAAGAGGAAAGAAACAGAATGGCAAGTCGAATATCTATCTACCGTGTTTGTGTTATTTTATATTTCTACATTTTAGTTGGAAAACGCCAATTCTTCAGTACTTAAACCGCTAGAAGAATTTAGAAAAAAATATATTGGAGGCGTGAAAAACGAAAAAAAGAAGTTCGAGAAACAAACTGCGAAGTTTTGTCAAAATCAGGAGCGATATTTGAACAAAACCACCAGAAATCCCAACACATTACAAGAGGTAAGTGTCTTTAATCAATCTAAAGTCTATTAATTTAGTTCTGCATGAGACTGTTTATTTATTTATTTATTTATTTATTTATTCATTACAAACTCTACAGATTTACATCCAGTTACAGAGTAGGGTAGAAGACTAACCTAAGTGGAAGCAAAAATATAAAGTAAAGAGTCATCGAGAGAGTAACTTAACATTAAAATCTACATTTGTACAAATATATCATTAAGTATTAATTTCAGCCTACTTACAGAACTTAAATTCCACATATCAAATTGTAGGCGCATTTGGTTGTATAATTTACACATTACAATAACAGGCGAGTTGTTGTAGTAATTAGTTCGAGTATTATCAGTATATAAGCTCAAAGGATTTCGTGTTCTATATGTCGGAGCATAAAATTTAATTTGGTTCAACAAATAAGGAGCATTTATCATGTTATTTAATATTTTATAAAGAAATATAATTGTAGAAAATTTCCTCCTGCCTTCAAGCGTTTGTATATTATGAGCTTTCATGATTTCTAATTTTGGTATATGCATTTCGTATCGCCCTGTTTCCTTGTAGTGTAAATATCTCAAAAATTTATTTTGAATTTTTTCTGTTGTGGTATTCACACTGTATTAGGTATAAATGGGGCAATTAATTTGTATGCCTAGAGTATTTGAAAACAATAACATTTTCAAATGACCCAAACATCATGTGCGAATTATAATGAAGGTTTGTCCAGGCAAGCAACAATCAATAATGTTTTGAATACAAATAATTAAAACCAGAATTATTTTGTTTTTGACAATTTTCCTTTGTTAATTCAGGTTTATCATAGGTTGAATCGTAGCCATTTTTATTAGAGTAAATTTGACTATACTTGTTATTTGTTATCCATTAAAGTGACATACAATAGGCCTAAAACGGTGGGAGGATGCAACAACAATCTAAAAGGTCACGTCTGGTGTTTCCTATTGAATTTCTGCTTGGAATGATTCAACTGAGTAAAATATTTTAATAGAAGCTACATGTTGAGTGATTGCCTATTTATTATTAACGAATACAAAATGGATATTCTTTTAGAGTTTTTATGTAAATGTTATTAGACCAGCGTTTATTTTTCATGTTTTATATACATATTTTCTTTTGGTAATTATACCTTAAGGGATTAATACACAATTCAATAAAATCGTCTGTATGTGAATGTCATACTTCCTGGTTCTACCAAAGACAATACTACTACGTAGTAGTATTGTCTTTGCTTCTACTAATTTCTCAAAAATTGAATTCAGCTACAACTACACGTTATGGATAAAACAAAATTTCTAAAGTAGGTAATTCCCTTCCAAACAAAAAGGGCGTTAATGACCTTGTAATAACTCCACATCGAAATTGTCGCAAATTTGGCATAAACATTCTTTGATCAATTTTCTACAATGTAAATAATATGTATACCATAGCTATTATTGCAACAGGCGAGGCGTTTAAGTAAAGCATTTCTCTTTTATTTGACAAATTAAACAGAGAAAGTTCATGTAATCTAATAACATTTTTAAATTTTAGTCTGCGTCTTCTTTGAATCTACTTCAAAATAAATAATGAATAACAACTTTTACTTTTCTTCAGTAGATTTTGCTACTAAGCAATAATAAGCATTAATCCGATTAAATCAAGAGTAACTGATTATTTACATTTAAAATCTGATTTAATTTTTGATAAAGGTTCACAGGCGCCACGAATTTTCCCTATTGAAAATCGCGTGTTTACCATGGCAACATCGCCCTTTGCAAGCAAGTTGCGCAATAAGCGGCTCCATTACATTACGTCGACGTCCAACGACTCCTACGCACGATTTTCCCGAATGCCCTTTTAACATTCTGTTGTTTTACCATTGTTTCATTCATAAATTTTGAAGATCCGTTGAACGAAAATCAAACAAGCTTCTGTTAATATTGAAATTGCACTTAAAGCTGAGTGAAAATGGGATTTACTTGGTGCCCCAGTCTTTTTGGGGGGTAAGTTTGGAATTTTGCTTTTTTGTTGTGATTGGGATTTGTGTCATGACAGCAGTAATGATTTTAATTTCTCACAATATGAGCACCAAGACCAAGTTGGGAATTTTATTTTACTTCATGGTTTCTGCATGCTGTGATAGGAGTTCATTTTAGTGTACTATGCAAAAAGTGTGTTTACATTAATTTCTGCAGATAATTCAGTTCAATTAACAGTTTGAGTTGATTCAGATTAATTTGACACCACTACAAGAAATATTCAAAAGTTGCTGGACCATTTCTACTGCATATTTTTTGTTTTAGGCTGACGCATCCGTCGACATGGCCGAACGTCACTTCTATGCAGCTTCAATGGATTATGTGTATTTGATTCAAGAAGTACACGAAAGAAAAAAGTTTGAATTTGTAGAAACCCTATTAACATTTGTGTACGCCTATTTTACTTTCTATCATCAGGGCCATGAAATCAAAAAAGACTTTGATCCTTTTATGAAAGATTTACAATCAAAAATTCAAAAAACCCGCAGCAACTTTGACGATTTCAGTGAACAATTAAAAAAACGAATGTCTGAGGTCCAAAAACAAGAAGGGCCTCTCAGTAATGCTAAAGGATGTAAGGAGGGATACTTGTTTTTATTGGAAAGAAGTAAGTGGACTCTTTGCTTGGAAAATTTAAATTTTTCCACACACATTTTCAGAGGCTTTTGGCGCTACTTGGACCAAGCATTTTTGCAAATATGACAAAGAAACCAAAGAATTCAGCATGCTTCCTTACAATCAACTTACTACGAAAACGGTAATGATAGGTATATTAATCTTCAATTTTACAAGTTTCCTTTTAGCTTCCACAACCAGAAAAAATGGTTATTACTGCTTGCATAAGACGAAAATCTGACTCGATTGATAAAAGATTTTGTTTTGATATTCAAGCTGAAAATAAACCTGCTGGAGTCAACTATACACTGCAAGCTCTATCGGAACAAGACAGAACTAGTTGGATGGACATTATGGATGGAAAAGAACCTGTAAGTCATCATTATTTAATTTAAATTAAACAAATACACTTTTGTACATAATTATGTGTGTGATAGGTAATATTATTTTAGACATACACAATTCCTGCAAATAAGCCCACAACTGTATCAGAAGAGACTTACGTTCTGGACGACATAGGTTTACAATTTGTTAAACGATGTATAGAAGTTTTAGAATCGAGAGGATTGGAGGAGCAGGGCATTTATAGGCAAGACAAATTGGACGTCAAATGACAGCTTATAAAATATAATAATTCTGTTCTAGAGTCGTCGGAGTAACGTCGAAAGTTAGTAAACTATTAGATATGGGTTTAGACCGAAGAAAAAATGAAAAATTGACGCTAGAAGACCCACAGGAGTGGGAATCGAAAACCATAACTAGCGCACTGAAAACTTACTTAAGAAATCTTCCAGAGCCTTTAATGTCTTACAAATATCATAACGATTTTATAAATGGAGTCAGTAAGTTTTAACTCGATCCAACTTTTTGTTTGATATTTTTGGGAATGATTTTTTTTTTAGAAAGAGAATCCAGACAAAATAGAGTCCACGAAGTACATAAACTATTATATAAAATCCCCAAATCAAATTTTGATGTTTTAAAAATATTAATTAAACATTTGACAAAGTGAGTTGAAATAATTTTTCTATTATAATTTTTTTTTATGTCTTTTGATTATTAGTGTGGCAAATAAATGTGATAAAAACCGCATGACCGTGAGTAATTTGGGAGTATGTTTCGGACCTACTCTTCTCCGTCCTGAACTAGAAACGGTGGCCTCAATCATGGACCTGAAATTCTACAATATTGTCGTGGAAATCCTAATAGAAAACTACGAAAAATTATTTTTTAGCGAGCCTGATTTATGCAGAAATCCACAAACTATTTACGGACATTTAACGCCAAATAATCATTTACCAACTGATGCTAACGACGTTTATGGGACCAATAATAGGATTTATGTTAATAGTCAGCCTGTTAGAGTGTCCCCCAGTTATAGACAACCGCCTGGGTATAATCAGAATTCGCCATATACAGTGGTCAGAATTAATGTTTATTTTATAATATTTTTTTTTATTGTGATGTATTTTTGCAGTCCGTATCGTCTTACATAGAACACCCTACTCCCACTAGTATGTACTCCACACAAGAGCCCATATCCGACAGTGCCATGTATGGAATGTCTAGAAGTGATCATAGACCATCAAATCACCAACGGTTCAAACATTTTAGTACTTCTGCTGCTTCTCAATCCGAATCTAACATTCCACAAAGTTTGACCAGTCCCACTAATTTCAGACATAGCCGCATAGGTAACAAATTATTTTTGGCAAAAGAGTTCGTAGGTTCAACCAACACATAAATTCTAGCTGCCTTTTCAGTGGCGCATTCGAACAGCACCAGTAGTTCGAATGACTCACTCTCGTCAGCCTCAAGAGATGGCAACATCGTCATTGGATCAGTTCCTAAGAAAACCAAAAGGACCAGTCTATATGGCGGTTATGCTACAAAATATAAATCACCTGGCAATGTGTAAGTGGCAATCATTACTCTAATTAATATGGAATGCATGAATGGTGTTGTTTTTTTCGCAAAATATTATTCATTGTAGTCTCACCTCTAACCTTTATATCTTAATTTTTCCTACTTTTACTTGCATGCTCTCCCTTCTACTAAACACTAACTCAGGACGCAGCTTTCCCAACAACCCGGCTTTTTGACTTCATCTGGAAGATCCAGTCCTATTTTGAATAGAGTCCGGTATGTAAATAACCTATACCTAAAAAATTTTATTGGTATTTTAGATATTGTTGTTGATGCTAATGGTCAATTACCATCCCTCAAACTCGATACACTAAACTATTCTCAGATTTGAAGCCGAAATCTGAGAAAAAACGCACTCAGAAAAATTGGAAAATTGATAAATCACCCGAAATTGCTTAACACGATTTTATCTCAGGAACTATAAGTGCAAATGAGCTGAAATTTTCAGGGATTGTAGTCCTTTGAAAGGGATAAAATTCAGTGAAAATTTCAGCTTTCTATCTATAATAGAAAAAAAGTTATGGTCTTTCAAATTTTTCCAAAATCTAAATCATAAGCTACCTTCTTACTTAAACGATGAAATTGAAGAACGATACGTCGACCAATGGGATTATCGATTGGCAAATTTGTTTCGTAGATAGTTACCAGTACGTTTATAGAAAAAAATACTACACATTTTTTTCAAAAATGAAATTTTCTTTCTGGTGTGTCCTCCCTCCACAAGGTTTAAAACTTTCTGTCCACACCCCAACAAAATCGTTTCTAATTCATTCTTTGTAAACCAAAGACTTTTTGTCTGTTCCTATTATTGACTAACACTCTTGCATATTTTTGGGGTAGTCACGTGCAGAAAGATGTTTTTTTAACAAAATTTTTTCAGGAGAGTTAGAACACTTTATGCCTGTCTAGGTGAAAACGACGGAGAGTTATCCTTTGAACCCAACCAGATTATAACCAATGGTAAATTTATTTTAATAATTGTATTAGTTTTGTAATAATAAAAATGTGTATTAGTGAAATCCTCTCCAGAACCGGGTTGGCTAGAGGGCACCCTGAATGGTAAAACCGGCCTGATACCAGAAAACTATGTCGAAATGCTCCCTTGACAGGGTACTGGGTCCCTGTCTAAAATCTCCACGTCCCTACGCCATGGAATATGTAAAGCCCTTCATATCAGCAACCATCAAGAAGACGGAGAATGTTCTACGGACCCGAGGAGGTTGAACATTCATAGACCTAGTTTGGACGGTGCATTGGCGAAACAAATTAGTATTGAACGGAAAAGTTCAACATAGGAGAACAAATGTTTGGGTTTTTGACTTTTTAGCTCAGCGTACAGGCAATAAAAAACTCCTTATCAAAATAGCAATATCTAAATATTAGAATGGTATAGATAAGTAGAATGTTTTCTATGTATCTCTACCCTATTCGTACAAGCACAAATTAATAACATATCAAATTTCACCTTCAGAATAATGTAAAAAACATAATTGTTTTAACTAGAATTGTTGCTGAAAAAAAAATCCCATTCTGGCTAAGTAATTTTTGTTTGTTGAAACTAAGCAGTAACCAAAAGTAAATACTGGGATAATATACATGAACTACATAATGTGCCTTTAGATAGGTTTATTTGGAACCACATTTTTTAGCTTACCATTGGGAAGAATAATTATTATTATTCTTCCCGCAAAAGAAATAGAACTCTTGGCCAAAATACATCATCAATATCATTCTTCTTGTATAAATTGAAAATGTCCATTTACTAAAAATTTAGCTGTGTTAAGGCAACTGGTAACACCAATATTGATATTATTGTATAAAATTGTAAAATACTAAAATAACGTGCTTCATATTATAATCAGTATTCTTTAGGTCTATGAAGGGCTTTTTTAGAAAACTCTTGTAGTAATGTAATTTTGCTGTGATAAACTAGCACATTATGCCAAGTTTTTTTTTTTGTCAAATCTGACCCGGTGTTATGAACAAAATATTAATTAGGTCATATTTTTGTTTGTTTTTTTTATTTGTAAAAAGGGACCATTCATTATTATTTTATTCGCTAAACGTAATACTATTTATAAATAAAAATATTGTAAATAATTATTATTCCTTTCCAAGCTTTTTGCTGTAAGATTATTTTACTTGTGATATAATACATGTTAACCAATAATATTATTCTTATGCATTTATAACTACCTATATAAATTATGTATGCAGTGTAAATGGTTTGACTATTTCAAGTCAAATCTTTTGCACCCCTTATACAAGTAAATATCTATAAGTTTTGCCAAGATCATAGATTTTTTTACAAAAAATATCGAAAAATTTAGATATGTAATAACAACAATTCAATGTCTATAACATCTATTTAATTTTAGAAGAAATCTATATTTACATAGGTATACCTCCTATACATATCTTATTATTTGTTGCATTTTTGTTTTAATGGTAATTTATTGTTGTAATATTTTTGAATAAATAAAATGGTGTTTAATAAAAGAAAAAGATTATTTAATAAGTTTAAAAAGGGCGCAAGAGAAAATCATTCCCAGAACCTGAAATTGAAAAAAACAAATAAACATTTATTTATTTTAAATAATATGAATCACGCTCACCAAAAAACAAGAAACAACAATTCCAGCAGTTCCTATAATCTTGGCATGCTCTTTTACATAATCCATCGTGACTGTTAGGCACCCCCTTGTGTTGATTGTAAATTCATTTTTCACTTCGATTTGACGACAATTTATTGGCTGTCCCGAAGTGGTGATTTTGCAACAGGATTCTGGTATTCTATCGTTCCAATCCTAAATTGAGAAATTTTGAGCAACTGAACAATAATTGTAGTTGGCGCTTACTGTATAACCAGAAACACCGCAACAATTTAATCTCCGTTGTGTTTCGTCCCAAGCATCTGTGGTCGGTTTGTGGTTTCCGTAGTCGCTCAATGACCGGCTCATGCCCAAACGAATTGTTTTTTCCACTTTTTCTCTGAAAACGTAGCCGAGAATACCTCCAATCAACATTGTGACGAATATGAGGAATAAAGTTGTGAAATACTGAAAATAAAAACTAGATTCACCTAGTCAACATAAAATTATGTATGCTAATACATAATATAAATTAGTTTGATATTGAGATTTAATAATTTTGAAATAAAATGTGCATCTGAAATGATAAAGTAATTTTTCTTATTCTGTTTTTAATTGATAGTGCATCTGCGAATTAGTCAAAGTCAAAAAAAACCGCCCAACATCATTTCTAAATCACAATTTCATAGAAAAATATTTAAATTGTATATCAGATACATAGGTAGTTGATAGTGCAACTATAAATTTTTATATAAATCGTCTTAGCCCACTAATTTTTTTAAAAACTTTTTTAGCTCCTAATCGTTTTTTTTGGTAATTTTTTGTTTCATCTGATTCGTGCGTGATTGATGAATAAGGATTCTAAACGGGTATTGAAAATACCCTACTTGTACTTGTACTTCCAATATCTATTCTAAAATACTTGGAATTTTACTTGATTATGTCCAGTATTTTGCTTAAAGTATTTTGAGTAGGTACCTACTTATAATAAATAAGTTTCTTGATTTTCTTTAAATAATAATTATTGCAAATTTTTTTTTACTGTCCATAACTATCTTCTGTTTTTTTTTTCAAGATAATCCCCCAAGTCAAAAATTTATTTAACTATGTTGGCAACACAAGCCTTTTCTACATAAAAAATTGAATTTCGATTTCAAAATATTCAAAATTTAATTGCTCGGTAACCGTTGAACTAATTGCATTGAAATTTTTAGCATTTGTAGCTCCTAATAAGCTCTAAAAACCGTTTAATTTAGGTTAATAGTTTTTGAGCAAATTGAGTTTGAAGTTTTTGGCAAAATTTGGACTAAAAATCAACTTTGAGGCTCAGTTGATATATTAAACTCAATTTTGTACGAATTTATAGAGAATTTATTGCTCTTTCTAATGATATATAATTTATTTTGGTTTGCTCAAAATTTAACAAAGATTTGGGCTCAAGACATGTCAAGATTTTGAAACCAAAAATAAGATTTTCTCTTTATTTTGGTTTTTGCTTAAAATGGCCATTTGGAAATGATGTCAGGGTTGTTTTCCACTAATTTTAACCCACTCTATCGATTGGTAAAGTGAAAATGGGGCAAAACTGGAAAATAAAAAAATCGTTTTTTATGAGGGTATCCCCTTTGAATTCTGATTTCAAAATATTCAAACCTCAATTGCTCGGTAACCATTGGGCAATTTGCATTGAAAATTTTAGTATTTGTAGCTCTTAATAAGCTCTTACAACTCTTCAATTTACAATATTCCCAGGTTAATATTTCTTGAGCAAATTGAGTTTGAAGTTTTTGGCAAAATTTGGACTAAAAATCAACTTTGATGCTCAATTACTGAAAAACTATTCGAGCTATTGAACTCAATTTCGTCACCAATTTATAGATAATTTATTGCTCTTTCCAATGATATATAATTTATTTCAATTTGCCCAAAATTTAACCAAGATGTGGGCAATTGCTCAAAACATGCCAAGATTTTGAAAATTTTCTAGAGCTAACAGTGGCGTAGCCAGGGTTTGGGGGCGGAGGGGGCAAAGTCCGTTTGGGGCGCCTATATTTTTTAATATATATTTTGTCAGGTTTTTTTTCGATTCCGCATTTAGTCAAAAATTGATAAAAAATAAGGCATGGTATCGATCAGAGTACAAATTGTTTTGTTAAAATTATTGATGAGTGATAGATAGAACAAGATTATTCCAAGAAAAACGGCGTGATTTGAATTTCAGCTGAGCTGAAAAAGACATTGGGTGAATAAATGCATTGTATGTTTTTTATGTTGCGACATATATTATATTACCTTTTTAAATAAACAAAGCTTCTAATTTAAATTATTATTATCTAAACAAAACCAAAAATAAATCCTTTCATAGCAAAAATAAAAAAATAAGTAAACGGTAAGCGATAAACAGAAAATAAATAAACTATAAACATTAAACAAAAAATATTCTATAATATTATGACACTGGACGGTCATGCACAAGTCCAAATCAATTCAAACTTTGAACAATTTGTTTTTTTGTTTTTATATTGCTATTCGCCTTGTGTTGATGCTTTTGAATCTATCTAAGACATCGGAAAGATCTAAGTTTTTTATATAATCTATCTCTATGTTTAATATTGCGATATCATTTAAACGTTGTTCTGTCATTGTCGAGCGATTATATGATTTGATATTTTTTAGTCGATTAAAGGATCTTTCCGCGCTGGCGCTGTTCGTCGCGATCGTTAGGTATATTTTATAAATAATAAATAAATTTGGGAATGAACATTGGAGCTTATTTGAAATAAGATACGGAAGTATCTCATCTGTTTTTAGATTAATCTCTTCCTTTTTCAATTGTTGAAACAAAGCGCAAAATGATTTATACTCGTCAACTAATAAATTTCCATTTACGTCAGATTCATAAAAGGCTGACAGATCCTTAAGATATTTTATATTATCTTGTGACGGAGAGATAACGTCTGCCTCCAAGCAAATAAATTTGTTTGCAATTTGGAAAAAATCTTCAAATCTCTCTGATAGTGTTTGGATGAAAGTATCCAATGCAACGTAGAAAACATTTCTTTTAAATTTTTGGCGCGGGCAGTTTCCAGTGTTGTTAGCATCTGCTTTTTCATCGTGAAAATGTTTGACTTTTTTATGTCTTTTGGAAAAATATTCGTCTGATATACCGCATTTTCTTGCCAGTAGTTTTGCATCCGATTCAAATTTATTAAAACAACTACCGTCACCGTCGCTCCGTAATTTTTTTAGATCTTCTATTGTGGATTTAATTAGATTAGCGACGGTATTTAAATTAATTTCAACTTTTTGGAGATAGTTTGATAATGAATAAATTTTACAAAGAACTTCTTTCCAAAAATGCAACAATAATATAAATTCAAAAGTATTGATGTATTTTGAAAGTCCGTTAGCTTCTGCCATTTGTCTAGCATTTAGAGTTATTTCGCCATTGGTAATATTTTCTAAGGTTTCAACAATAACCCGAATATTCTGGAAAACGGAATCCACCGCTTTAGTGTGACTAGCCCAACGAGTAGTGGAAAGCTTTTTCAAAGAAATATTTTTTACCTCAGATTCTTTTTGAATCCTTTCAAAAATTTTCAATCTTGGAAGACTTTCAGTTATAAAAACATATAGCTGTTCTAAGGTCCCAAAGAAAAGTTTTATTTCAGGACACGAGTTCACTGAATCGACCAAACTTAAATTCAATTTATGAGCCACACAATGAATATAAATTGCTTGAGGAGCATGTTCCTTAATTCTTGTCTGTAGACCTTTTATGTGTCCTGACATAGTACTAGCCCCGTCATAAGCCTGGCCCCGACACATGGAAATGTCAATCTTAAATGTGGCTATTTCAGCCAAAATGCTTTTGTAAAAAGTGTCAGCCGATGCGGAAGGCAAATCAACAAATTTGAGGAATCTCTCCTCTGCGAAACCATATTCATTCACATAACGCATCGACAAGGACATTTGATCTTTTTTTGAAATATCGATAGTAGAATCAACAATTAAAGTGAAATACTTTGCCCTGATTATGTCATTAATTATTGATGTTAGTACGTGCTGTGATAATAAATTTAAAATTTCGTTTTGGATCTGAGGACTTGTGTAAAGTGCATTCCTCTTTGCACTGGACATATGATCCGCTAAAATAACATCATATTTTTTCAAAAATTCCAGAAACTCTATAAAGTTTCCTTTATTTTTGCTGTCACCTGTTTCTTTATGACCCCTCAAAGGTATATTTTGTTTTCCCAGAAATAGAACTACATCAAATATCCTCATTAACGTGTCCCGATTTTTTCTAATATCCTCCATTTCAACGCGTAGTTGTTCATGGATAATGGTTTTGTCTTTAATAAGTCTTAACTTAGTAACGATGTATCTATTCTGCATCTCACGATGGAAACCACTTTCCTCGTGTAATTTTATTTTTTCAACCCCTTTTTTGAAATTTGACATTCCCTTTTTAATATCACCCCAAACAGAATGTGTTTTTGAACTGAACATTAACCAACAATAAAAGCAATACATTTTGTTGGATCTTGGAGAATAAATTAGCCAATTTCTAACCATATCCTTTTTAGGATTTACTGTATCCATGTAGTACCAACAAGTTTTAAATTTTCTGCTCCTGGAATCCACAGGAAAATCTGAGAAATCATCATTCAACCCAGGTTGACATGGTCCACCGAGTATTAGGGTTCTAACTATGCCTGGCGACATTACAGATTCCCTGAATAACATAGGATCAGTTGGATAGAAGTCCGAATTATCAATTTCAACAGGTATTTCTAAAAACAAAATTTCAATAGAGATTTTTTAATAATTGGGTTTTTAATGAACCTTCTTTAAGGTCCTCTATCTCATCTTTATCTCTTTGATCCTCAGTTGTAGATTCAGGCTCCGACTCAGGCTCCGACTCCGACTCAGGCTCTGTCTCCGACATAGGCTCAGGAATTAATTTTGTTCCAACCAATGCAATTTCCTCACAACGATCATTTTCCCTGTCACAGCTAGTGTAATTTTGCGTGGTTGAAACATCCTGACTAAAATTCATTAAAATGTTAAAGTATTTAAACAAAAATAATTATTTTAAATGACGTCGTCCAAAGGCTTTATTATGTAATTGTAATGTAATGCGCAATAGTCTGTAAGTTACAGATACTCACTTACCTCATCTGTTCAACGTTGGCGTCGCCCAGTTTAAAAAACGATCGGATATTTTGTTGACTAGTGGACGCCCCTGCACACAATAATTGCTTTCTTATTCTCTCTTTTCTGTAAGCAGCTCCTGACTTTTTTTTTGGCAAAGGCATTGTAATTTTATAACGCAATAAAATATCAAGAGTAATATGTTATCCGAAATAATTCGGATTATCGCAGTCTCGATCGCAGTTAAATAAAATCAAAAATCACAAAATACAAATTAAATTAAACCATCCACCTGACTATCTGATCTGCCAGTGAATACCGAAAACAAATTCTCAAAATCAAAAGTCAACCTCATTGACTTGAAGCCGTTTTCCCTATTCCTAGAATTTTCGCATTCCCCCTTTTGGCTGGAAGCGGTGTATGCGCGTATGCATGCCGCTTCTTTGATGAATGCCGACAAAGGGAAGACGACAAAATAGAAATTTAAAAATAATTTTTTTATTCTAAAACCGGCAGCGATTCTTTTAAGAAATCCTAAACTTTTATCCATATTTAAGTGGTAAAAGGGCGCGACGTCAGGAGGGGCGGGGGGGGCGACCGCCCCCCTTCGCCCCCCTGTGGCTACGCCACTGAGAGCTAATAATAGGATTTTCTCTTTTTTTTTCGTTCCTGCTTAAGATGACCATTTGGAAATGATGTTAGGGTTGTTTTGCACTAATTTTGACCCACTCTATCGATTGGTAAAGTGAAAATTGAGCAAAACTGAAAAATGAAAAAATCAATCAGTGTTTTATGAGGGTACTTTTTCTCTGAATTCTAAAAGCCAACTTTGAGATTCGATTGGTCAAAAACCATTTGAGCTATCAAGCTCGATTTTGCACGGATTTATATAGAATTAATTTGAATTTGCTCAATAAAGATCTGAGCAATTATTTCAAACCGCGCCTTAAATAGTAGATTGTAGGTATGGACTTAAATATATTCAAATATACCCTGTACTTATTTTAGAATCATGCCCCGCTTGATTTTTAGAACTGAGACGGAGATATACAACATTTTACTCGAATGACTAAGCACCAAAGTACCTTTAATACTTTCATTGCTTTGAAAATAATAAATAACATCAGCTATGACATCAGAATAGAAGAAAGATCGGATTATATTGTGAATAACTAAAAAAATTACTAAGAATTGTCTTATTTCGAGCAGATTTTAGATGTTTGAAGTACCAAAATTACTTCAAGTATTGCTTCAATTACTTTAAAGTATTTCATCAAGTACTAAAATATACTTCAAGTAATGTCACTTTACTTGAAGTAAATCACTTGATGAAATTCAAGTAAACTTCAAGTTTACTTGATGATCAAAGTATAATTTTAAAATACTTGTACTTGTAGTAAATCTATTAAATATATTTACTTCATACTTCTACTTGTACTTCAAGGACTTTTTTAATGTACTTGTGCCAGCTCTGCTTATAGACTATAGAAATAAATATTTATGTATAGGTAAACTTCTTATCCCTGTTATAGTTTTACTATTTTAGGCTTTATAATATCAGGGTGGTTGATCAGTGATAATGAAGCTAAAGGCGTTGAAACCTATGAGAGGAAGAGAAAGAATCAACTAAACTGCTGGACACTTTGAACTTTCACAATATACAGATTCAGACAAAATTCAAAGTTTCATATTTTCGACATGAATAAAGTTTTTTTAACGCAGTGTGTTGGATTTTAATAGCCTGTTTTTTCCGGATAAAGCTTGCTGTATATTTCTCATAGGACCATGAAGTTATGATATACGAGGCGATAAAATTTAATTTTGCCTAAAAATCTATGTGTAATGGCCATTTCCACCAACTATTTTAGGGATGACTTAACGATAAGTATTCCCTAAACTCAGTTAAGGGCATACTTATCGTTAAGGCTTCCTTAAAATAGTTGATGGAAACGGCCATAAGTTCAAGTATCCAGCAGTATATTATGTTAAATTTGTTTTAATCCACTCCATTTCCTATACCTACTGGCTACTCACTTACAATTACTAGCATACATCTAACTTCCTTAACTGATCCTAAACATCCCAGGCAGGATATTAGAATAACTAAAGCTCCTGTTATAACTAAAACGTAGGCAGACCCACTATACAAGTTGGTACCTAGAAGTTCATTCGCAAAGGATTTGTCCACTATGACCCAAATTCCTAAGGCTGCAGCTACAATTCCGCCAATCTAAAAATAATGTATAATAAAGTTTTTAGTAACGAGGCATAAAAATCAAAATAATGATTTTTAAATTTAACATGAGTCATGATTAGGATATTATTTTTTAATGTTATCAAATTATGAAAGTATTTTTTATTGTAGTGGGACAAAATAAATTAGGTAAGTACAAAATTATAGGTACCTATGGATGCTCTACTCAAATGGGATGAGTTGTTCATCCAAAAAAAAAGTATTCTTTACAGGAAATTAAATAATGAAATAATCGAGTAGTTAATTTAGATAGTATGAGAATCACGAGGGGTTTTTCACCTAACTAAATTTGTACATCGATTAACAGTACTGAGATATTTCCATGTATTAACAGATATTTCCATGTATTAACAGATATTTCTGTGTACTTAATGACAAGTTATTGCCAACTATTTCCGTATTAACAAAATATTTCCACATATTGCCAGGTAGGTATTTCCCTAGTATTATCACATATTACTAGATATTGACAGACTAAAATCAAATATTTGTCTTGCCAGAATTCTGAGTATAATGACATATTTACATGTTATTAATGGGTATCAATCAACCAATGACATTAATATATACCTATTGCCTAGATATCTACAAGTATTGACATATATTAGCTACATAATTAACAAGTAGGTAGGCATTGCATAGTATTGACACTATTGGAATAGTATTTACCTAGTATTGACATATATTAACCAGTGATTTGTTCGCCGATTAACAAGGTGAAAAACCCCTCAGAGAATCGTCTGTTAATTTGACAATTTTTTTAACTACTTACAAATATAATCAAATTAACAATAAAGAGGCTGTATTTCATGAAATTCCCACATCCGTCCATGTTTGATGTTCCCATGCTCACATACAATAAATAATATTATTGTAAAATAAAAAAGTAGATATTCAAAAGACGCTCTCACTTTCTGCTATAGGCCAGCTGATCACTGCGGACTGCAGAGAGAGCACAACTTCCTTGCACAGGGTACTCACGCTTACCTACACTGGGCGACAAAAGATTGAAAGTGACAAGAACATAATTATACATATATATAAGTTAACTAGGTAGCTATATAAATTACTGCCTAATTTCGTAGAAATGTTGCATCAAAAATATAACAATTTTATGGTATGCCAATAATTTGTCTCAAAAATCACTTTATCTTTATGTTGCCCAGTATAAACTAATTCCCACCATGGACGCTAATATTTACCAGCAAAAAGGTGACCCTCCAGTCCTCGTTATACTTATTTCTTATATTTCCGGATCTCCTGCCATGCCCATATGCCATGGGTATTGTAGATATCATACGATATGGGCGGCGCATATGGTCAGTTAAAGTTAAAAATGACCTTCACAGTATATACCCATTCGCGTTTCTAATAATTTAGTACCTACTTGACTTATGGTGGTTTAATTTAGCAACGGTTTTTAAAAGTATCTCCTCTACTCTACCCTATCCAACTAAATAGTTATTTTTTACAAAATGAACTATTTGAATATTATAAACGCGCATTATGAATCGAATACCTACCTAATTAGGAATCTGGTAATCATTGGTATTCACAATTCAGAGGCAAATCTGTCGATTGTCTGAATCAAAAGAATAAAGAAATAAACAAAACTAGGTACCTAATAGGTACACCACAAGTACCAACCAATATTTTGTAACATCATTACGTTTAGGTATTTGCTCAAGATAATGCTTATACAGCGCAAATAAATTGCATGCGAAATAACTAAACATTTGCAAGTACAAAATAGTATTTGGACCAATTAATTTTTTTTTATCGTTTATTATTTATCTATTGTTTTTAAAAACACTCGTAATAATTGGTCAAAATACGGGTATCGTTTTGGGCTCATGTGAACAGAGAATGATTAATAAATTTGTGCAACGCAACACTGATCAATAAGATTTGCATTTATGTTATGTGGTTGATGGTGTTTGCTTTGAGGGATTGGATAGATTCTACGTTCCATCTGCTTTTTGTAGTTATTAGTTCGATGGAAAAGTTTTTCTCAAAACTGAATTCATCAACAATCACGCGTCTTTTGGTAGATCTATGAGGTGTGCACAGTTTGGGAGAGAAGTTCTGCCAAGGTTCGTTTCCCTTTGTAGATTGTAGACCTATCTTCTCCAGTTTGAGACATGATCCACTGCGGCAATCCGGTTCACTATTATGTGGAGTGGTGTGAGGTCTAGAATGACTTCTTATAGTGCCGCGGTTGGGCATGATCTCATTGCTCTTGTTATACAGAGACACGCAAGTCTTTGCACTTTTCCTAGGGTCTTTCTAGCTGGTACTAGCTAGGTTGAGCTATACCAGATTACCGCTCCGTAGGTGATGATAGGTCTCGCTATCACGGTATACATCCATCTTAGGATTGATGGGTTACTTCTAACCCATCTTAGGATTAATGGGTTAGAATCTAGGGTTATTCCTAAGAATCTTTTTTCCAATCAAGTCTGCTTCCATCGAAGCGAATGTTTCTCAGGTTTGGGCTCGGGTTTGGGAGTTTCGTTCTTTTTGTAAATATTACCAGTGTGGTTTTTGCTGAGTTTAGATTCAGCCCCACTGTCTGACACCCAGTGGCGGCTCGTCAGAGGAGGCAGGGGAGGCTAAGCCTCCCCCAAAAAATTTAATCTCAGTTTTTTATTCCTAATTCCTAATTAAAATAATAATTCACAAATTACACTTTCCAAAGGACCCCGCAATATTTAAATGGAAATTGGTTACCCGTGATATTTGGATGAAATTTAAATATGTTATTGGGGATGCCGTAAGCAACATTTTTTACCATGGGCACAACCCTGTATATATGACAGGTGAGGCGTGGTTAGCTGTCAAATATTGGAATCTTATATCCAAAAGCAGAGTAACTATGGCAGATTTTGATGAACAAAAAATCTATTTCTACTAAGTCGACCAAGTTAAGCCGAAAAATGTCAACCATTTTGACGTCTGTCAAAACCCTGCCAGACGGCAGCATTCATCTTTCCCAGTTTTCAATATTTTATGATGTTATTTGTCATTTTTAACTTGTATGTAAATTCTGAATTCAAAAATTGAAAAAAAAAATTACAGAACTGTCAAAATGACATCATTGTAGATTTCATTTGTAAGTGCCAAAATGTTTGAGTACTTTAATGATTTCATTTTAGTACTGAGTATTATAATGATTTCATTAAAGTACTCAAAAAAAATCGCCGGTATATAAAATCCTTTATACTAAAACTACATATTTTAAAATGAAAATTGACATCTCTGTTAAAATCTGAAACCTGCGTGTAATGTTTTTTCATGCGTTATCATAAAAAAACCCATCTTAAATTGGAAGAGAACTAGATTTGATTCTTTTTTGACTTAAAGCTATTGACAGATTCTGACAGCTGTCAAAATGTGACGTGCATGAACTTTGTTCAATGTTTTATCACCAATAAACTACCTTAAATCGAGAAAGAACCAAGTTAGAGTATTTTTTTCTACTAAAACAAATGACAGGTTTTGACAGTTCTGTCATTTTTTTTTTTCAATTTTTGAATTCAGAATTCACATACAAGTTAACAATGTCAGATGACATCATAAAATATTGAAAACTGGAAAAGATGAGTGGTGCCGTTTGGCAGGGTTTTGACAGGTGTCAAAATGGTTGACATTTTTCGACTTAACTTGGTCAACTTAGTAGAAATAGATTTTTTGTTCATCAAAATCTGCCATAGTTACTCTGCTTTTGGATATAAGATTCCAATATTTGACAGCTAACCACGCCTCACCTGTCATATATACAGGGTTGTGCCCATGGTAAAAAATGTTGCTTACGGCATTCCCAATAACATATTTAAATTTCATCCAAATATCACGGGTAACCAATTTCCATTTAAATATTGCGGGGTCCTTTCGATATTTCAATGTAATTTAGAAAAATCTGACAACATGATTGCAATCAATCCCTGCCCTTCACGACAAAAATCTGTGAATCTGGGATACTCAGTAATACGAACCCGCGAAGGGAACACCGGCCCGAAGGGCCGGAGTTATAGGCGAGCCCGAAGGGCTAAAGTTAATTCAATTACGGGGCCCAATCTATAATTCTATTGGTCAGTGGATAATTTGGAACCAATCGGGAATATTCAAAATGTGATTTTTAGTCGATATTCCGAGTTTCAGTTCTGTCCGATGTACCGGAAAAAAGTTACCCTCCATCTTTCTTGATTTTGAATTTTTTTTTCCGAATTTCCAAAAAAAAAAGTACCATCAGATAGAGGAGCAAAAAAACGTGGAAAAGCTTATGGGGACCCTGCTTGCTATGACTCATTTTAAGGCCGGGAAAAAATTAGAAAAGGATATTTCCATTTTGGCCACATAAAAATTGCGGCGATCTGACACGATGTTACTTTTTCGTCTATAGCTCCGCTATTTCTCAACCGATCGTTTCAACCAGTTTCAACATTTTAAAATTCAATATATATCAATATTTCCTGATAAAAATATTAAGGTGCCTGTCCCAAATAAGGCCATGTACCTAATAAGGCCAGTTCCCCTTATTGCCTAATATTGAATCCCATTTTCAAAAATGACAATATTATTAAAAATTAAATCTATAATGCAAATCAAAAATTATTGCAAGGGCTCCTAGCAACTCGTCATATGTCGAAAAATGGCCAACCACATATTTTATATGTCATGTTATGAATTGAGGCTGGAACTCCTTAACTTAGCTTATTATACGTGTTAATAAAGTGAAGGGAAAATGGAACGATTGTAATTTTTTAAGGAACATTTATGTATTGAGAAAGCTACAGAGAATAATCTCTTTGCTAGATTTCTAGTTACAGACTTTTTTTTTATCAATTTAACATGTTCCTAATAAGGCCATCATACGAAAAATGTTCAATTGGCCTCACACCCTAATGTTTTTTTAAAAGAATGTGTCATATTATTATCTGAGTGATGTTTTTTGAAATGCCTGGAGTCTAACCAAGCAAGATATGCTGCGGATTATTTGTCCTAGATGTATGCAGACCTATTTGAATCACCATCCCAGGACTTGGATTTTGGATATTGTTTTTTTAGGAATGCAGCAAACGTATAAGTTATATTATGTGTACTATTTCTCAAATAATGATATTTTTATAAATATTTGTATTTATTTTAACCTTTTTTTAATGGGGGCTTTTTTAGGAGCATAGTGATCCAAATAAGGCCAATGGTAAGCGTTTTTGTTGTACGCAAAAACCACACCACTTATATGAAAAAATAAATAAATTGGAGTTAATATTCAAGTAATGGAAGCGAAGCACTTCACATATAAGCTGGTGATTTTGGTTGGGTTTGGTGGATAATGTTAGGAAAAAAATAAAACTTCTTAACATGGCCTTATTTGGGACAGGTACCTTATAATATCATCCAAGTATACGCAGTGTTCCAATAAACTTGGCAAGAATACACATCATTAATCGTTGCCAGATAGTTGGTGAATTCACTAATCCAAAAGGCATTCTGTTGCATTTATAATGTCCCCAAGGACCGTCTTTTCTTGATCTGTTGAATATTCTCGGTTCTTGATTGGCTTTAAAATCAAATTTTTTCAATCATCCCAACTTTTGATTGACGTTAAAATTCAATTTTCGAAAATTCCCGGCTCTTGATTCGGTTTAAAATTTAATTTTTAAATATTCCTGGCTCTTGATTGGCTGGATTTGACGTTTAAAAATTCAATATTTGAATATTTGCGGTACTTGATTGAAATTTTTGTATTTGGTCAACAAAAAGTCAGGTTATCTGATAACTCATGTGGGGTACCTAAACATAATGCAAATCTCTATTAGCACCCCAGATGATGCCATCTGTTTCCCATTACCAGAAAATCTATAGACTAAGCAAGTAGGAAAAAGAAAACGACATAAGAAACTTAGCGGTTAAGAAAAAGACAGAGATAAAGTGGGATAAATTAAATAGTGACGCAAATTTTAATTATTCCCGGCGCTTGAGTGGCCAAGAGCTTAAAATAATAGACAGCAATATAAGAAATTCAATAAATAAGAAAGAGACGGAAATAAAGTTGAAAAAGAAAAAATGTGACACAAATTTTAATTATTCCCGGTGTTTAAGTTGGTTTGTATGTGATTTTTGTGTCTGGCCAATAAAAAGCCTAGAATAAGCAAGTATACAGGGTGTTCCAAAAAGATACCGACAAACTTTAAGGGATAGTAGGGGACATCAAAACAAGCATTTTTGTTTATATAAACATATGTCCGCAAATGAGCCATTTGGGCTGTAGAGCAAAAAAACTGTTTGATATCTAGTTTTATTCTTCGCAATAATTAAATCACTGTTTACTTATTAATTTTGCTTTAATAGCAAATAAATTGTGGTTTACAATAATTGTTCAACTCGCGAACTCTTTGGAATATTCCGGGAATAGGTTCTACACGGGTACTACTCGCCAGTTTCCTTGCTATCAGATCTTCCTCATTACGAACAGGTGTTTCGTAGACTAAACTTTTCATTCAATGACCCGACGGTATAATCTTTGAAGCATTGAAGTAAATGATCAACATTTGAACAATTATTCTAAACCATAATTTATTTGATAATAAAGCAAAATTAATAAGTAAACAGTGATGTAATTATTGCGAAAAATAAAAGTATCAAACAGTTTTTTTGCTCCACAGCCCAAATGGCTCATTTGCGGACATATGTTTATATAAACAAAAATGCTTGTTTTGATGTCCCCTACTACCCCTTAAAGTTTGTCGGTATCTTTTTGGGACACCCTGTATAAGACAAAGAAAACGACATAGGAAATTTATCAGTTAAGAAGAAGACAGAGATAAAGTAGAACCAAGAGCTTGGAATAATAAAGGGACAAAAATATAAGAAATTGAATAAATAGGAAAGAGACGGAAATAAAATGGGATATGAAAAAGTGTGACACGAATTTTAATTATTCCCAGCGCTTCAATGAGCTTATGTATTTTTTGTATTTGGCCAATAAAAAGCCTAGACTAGAAGAGTAGAACAAAGAAAACGACATAAGAAATTCAATGGTTATGAAAAAGACAGAGATAAAGTGGGATAAATCAAATAGTTTCACAGCGTTGCCGCTGTTTTTTTTTTTTGGAATTTTAATATTTCGTATTATAAGCTCGTGACGCTAGATTTCTGATTTTTTTAATTGTCAAAAACGTCAAGATAAAAAAAGTTTATATAATTTTACAGCGTTGCCACTGTTTGTTTTTTTTTCTTAGAATTTTAAAATTTCGCGTTGTAGGCTTGTGAGGCTTGATACTTGTCAAAAACATCAAAATAAATGAAGTTCATATTATTTTACAGCGTTGCCACTACTGTTTGTTTTTTTTTTCTTGGAATTTTAAAATTTCGTTTTATAGGCTCGTGACGCTTGACTTTTGATTTTTTAATTGTCAAAAACGTCAAGACAAGAGAAGTTTATATAATTTTACAGCGTTGCCACTGTTTGTTTTTTTTCTTGGAATTTTAAAATTTTGTTATAAGCTTGTGAGGCTTGATACTTGTCAAAAACGTCAAAATAAATGAAATTCATATTATTTCACAGCGTTGCCACTGTTTGTTATTTTTAACACGCTTATATTAGCTTCACCTGTATGTATGTTTGTAAGTAACATTGAAAATGTTTATTGCACGGGCACATAGGAATGCGTGCGAACTTTTGGACCCTTGGGAAGTGTATGAACAAGAACCTGGAACAAGCCACGTGAGCTGGAACAAGTCTAGATAAATCTGGATAAAGCCTGGAAAAGTCTAGAAAATGTCTGGAAATCTCTGGAAAGAGCCTGGAAATTTCTGGAAAGGGTCGGAAAAAATTCTGCCAAATGTCCCAAAAGACCTGGAGATCATTTTTCAGAATCCGGATCAGTCTGTACAAGTCTGGATAAATCTGGATATTATTTACAACTTTCTCAGCTGTTTTAAGCAAGAACGACGTAAGAATAGGCATATTGGGATGAAAGTTGATTTAGCTATCTACTCCATTGACTGGTTATGTATTCGGTCGCTAAACTGTATCTGATGTGATGAGTTTGGTCAGATACGGCATTATTTAATTTTGCCCTTTTTGCAGCAAGGCTGGAAAGATGCCGTCAACTCCAGGCGACTTGAACGGTCGATCGCCCAAGTAAGCCGTTGAGGAGTGCAAAGGTTCTTGGCAACCTCCCAGTTTTCTTGCCTGGTTTTCCTGGGCCGCCCTTTGCTTTCTTTAGTATCATTGATTAGGTGTGTTTCCTGGAAAAGGAGTTTCCAGTAGTAGAGCAGCTCGTTGCTCTTCATTTTTTGTTTAACTATGTTATATAAATATTGACTATTGACCATAAGTTACTTTTCCAACTTTTCCGAGCTACTTTTTCAGTCCTAGTGAGATGAATCACTTCTGCAAGGTCTCGTTTTGACGACAATGAAGTTCAAATGAAATTATAACTCAGAACTATAAACCTTGCTTTGTTCCAAGAGCAGGAAATCGGACTCAAGTACGAATATCTTTTTATCGTGGTTGAATAGCTTATTTTTCACTCTTTCGATACTGACCTTATCACAAACTAACTTGGGACGATATCTATAATTATTATTTAATCTACTACCTACTTATTTTTCTACCTGACTAATATGTTTTGCTATCATTAAATTATACCTGGAACTTCAAATTTATTTGTTATTTTGTTATTTTTCATATTGTACATTCAAAATCTTTGCAACTGAAAAAATAAGGTGGGTATTGGTATTAATTAGCATTTCAGGCAAATTTTATGGTGCATTGTATAGATGAAAGAAAAATATTCAAACAAATTTATTTCAGTTCTAGGCAAACAGGGCAGGGTTCGAGCAAGTCCGTAGACAACAACAAATAAGGATAACCTCTGTAACCCCTTTTAGAAAAACATCATACAGTCAAGATTCAGTATAAAAGGCGCACTTGAATCGTCCATTTGTTACTAAAATGTGGGCGCAATATCTAACAATACAAGAAGTGAATAGTTTGGAAAGTGATCGGTTTATTAAAATTTTTGGAAATATTGTGGAACATTGTTTGGCTGCTGGGATCGGGATTCTAAAAAATCGTCCTTTTCAAAATATCGATGGCGTGGTTGCTGCTATTGAACAGTATTTAGAAAATCTAAAACTACAAGGTAAGTCACAGAAGCCAATTAGTACCACCTATACATAGGTATATTGCACCTACATAACTTTGATGGACTTGTGTACACTGTACCTATGTGATATTTTAAGAATTGTAAAAAATAACTAGTTTGTAAACAAGTTTTTTTTTTCAGAAAAAATCAAAGTCCTCCAGCTTTATCCAGACAGCGTGAGTAAACTAGCTGGTTTTAGTAATTCCATGTTAGAATTCAATACCCATCAAAAAATTATCAGCACTGAATCTAGGACAAGTCTCAGATATGAAGAAAAAAAACGACTGAAACAATTAACGAAAAGTTATAGGGACAAACACGGTTTTCCTTTTATTATTTGTGCAAAAGAAGAAAACATTGACAGTCTTTGCGCAGAAATTGAAACTAGACTGATGAATCATACTAGGAACGAAACTGAAATTGCTTTAAAGGAAGTTAATAAAATTTGCAAAATGAGAATTTACGAAATTATAAAATAATTTTTATACTTGTTTAATCTTTACTTTGTAGAAGTTTTTCCGAGTTTATTTTATTATTATTGACTAGTGTAATAATAGCAAGACAAAGACTGTTTTTTTTTATATAGGAACTTATCTAATTAGTGATGTAAACATTAGTTTTTATTGTGTGTAGCTAAAATTAGTGGATACTTTTAATATTTACCTATGTCTAATTTTTTAAATAAAATTTTCCAAACTAAATTTCGAATATTTATTAATTTATGAAACAAATAATAAGACATAGAAATATCTATAATATTTCTCTAGTTAATAAAAAATTAGGAAAAAATCTTAGGCCTTCTATTGAATCATCCCTGCAACTTTTACCATATTTTTCAGCAGTTAATAGGCGTTCTGTTGCCAGTGTTACTGATATACCCAATTTTTGTGACAGTTCTTCTGATGTAAGAGAGCCATTGTCCTCCACCTGATTTTTGAATAATAAATAATTTTTCAAGTGTTGCTATATTATAATATTTCTTACCAAAACAGCTGTGGCCTCTGCAATACTTTCACTATCTAAGCTACTCAACTGTAGCACCATTACACCAGAATTAAACTGGAAAACTTTTAAAGGCATTTGCAGTTGCTCCATCAATTTACAAGCATTTAAAACGTCTTCTGGAGATATCAGCTCTAATCCTTAACAAAAGTTTTAAAAATGTACAACCATAACATTGTATGCCCTATCTGTACCTACCCCTTGCTCTATTTATCCTGCAAAACGCATCAGTCAAAACTATCATTCCTCCAACTTCTTCGATGTGGACAAGTAAAAAATCGCATATTTCCTTTGCTAAGCTCCTGTAATATTGATTGTTTGATTTATAAGAATCTCTGGTTACAGGATCATCTATACCCAAACTTAAAAGGTAGGATTTAAAACGGACAGTTTCATCTTCTGTAATATCTCCTTGTCTGTCCTGAAAATGTTTTATTATTAGACATACCTAGTTACTGAAAAGCAAGGGGTAAACCACTATCCCAAAATTGGTGCAAACAATTCCTCAAAGAGCAATTTTTTAGGCATAATTCCTGCAAATTCCTCCAGATACCCCATCACAAATTCCTCCAAATATCCCACCATGAACTTCTCTAAATACCCCACAAATTCCTCTAAATTACCTGCGAATTCCTTCAAATTCTCACAAATTCCTCCAAACTCCTCTCAAATTTCCTACAAACGTCTCTTACAAGTGAAAAACAGCAACATGAAAAATCTTGAAAATCAACCAACAAAAACTGAATTAGTTAGTCTTGCACATTTCAAAGTTTTCCTGGAAAACTAGTGAAGGGAAAATTTTAAAACTTTTTGCATGTGAAGAGGAAGGTGAGAAGCTCATCTTCCCATAATTTCAAATTTTTCCAGTAGAAAATTACAACATGAGGAATCTTGGAAATCAACCTACAATAACTGAATTAATTGAAAATACAGTCTCACATATTTCAAAGTTTTCCTGGAAAACTAGTGAACGGAAAATTTTGAAACTTTTTGCATGAAAAGAGGAAGGTGAGAAGCTCATTTTCCCAGAAATTCAAATTTTTCCATTAGAAATTTACAACATGAGGAATCTTGGAAATCAACCTATAATAGGTGAATTAATTGAAAATACAGTCTCACATATTTCAAAGTTTTCCTAGAAAACTAGTAAAGGGAAATTTTTGAAACTTTTTTTAATGTAAAGAGGAAGGTTAGAAGCTCATTTTCCCAAAATTACAAATTTTTCCAGTAGAAAATTACAACATGAGAAATCTTGGAAATCAACATAAAATAACTGGATTAATTGAAAATACAGTCCCACATATTTTAAAGTTTTCCTGGAAAACTAGTGAAGGGAGAATTTTGAAACTTTTTGTAAGTGAAGATACATGTAAAGAGGAAGGTGAGAAGCTCATATTTCTAAAATTTCAAATTTTTCTAGTGGAAAATAACAACATAAGAAATATTGGAAATCAACCTACAAAAACTGAATTAGTTGAAAATATAGTCTAAAATATTTCAGAGTTTTCCTGGAAAACTAGTGAAGAGAAAATTTTGAAACTTTTTGCATGTAAAGAGGAAGGTGAGAAGCTCATTTTCACAGAATTTGAAATTTTTCCAATAGAAAATTACAATATGAGGAATCTTGGAAATCAACCTATAATAGGTGAATTAATTGAAAATACAGTCTCACATATTTCAATTTTTTCCTGGAAAACTAGTGAACGGAAAATTTTGAAACTTTTTTTAATGTAAAGAGAAAGGTGAGAAGCTCATTTTCCCAGAATTTCAAATTTTTCCATTAGAAAATTACAACATGAGGAATCTTGGAAATCAACCTACAATAACTGGATTAATTGAAAATACAGTCCCACATATTTTAAAGTTTTCCTGGAAAACTAGTGAAGGGAAAGTTTTGAAACTTTTTGTAAGTAAAGAGGAAGAGGTGAAAAGCTCATTTTCCCAAAGTTTCAAATTTTTCCAGTGAACAATAACATGAAAAATTTTGGAAAACAGCCTACAAAAACTGTATTCATTATTCTTTTGAATTTTTTAAATTTGGACCTGTAAATCATGAAGTGTAATTTTGGGAGGATTTCTTCAATAAAAATGTCCAACACAAAACTAGATTTTATTTAAAATTTCCATTTATTACTATTTCTTATAATAAGAATGTGAACCTCAGTGCTGTCATGACCCTACAATTTCCTTCAAATTCCTCACAAATTCTCGTAAAATTCCACATAAAAATACTTTCAAATTCCCTATAAATTCCTTAAATTCTCATAAATTTCGATAAGTTCCTTCAAATTCCCCTAAATTTCCCACAAATTCCTTTAAATTCCTCACATTTTTAGCAAAGAGTTCCTAGGTGATTTGCCCCTTGCTGAAAAGTCTTAGCTTACCTTTATTTTAGTGGAAATATTTTGAGATAATCTGACCATATCCTTTGCCATACTCATAAGTTTGCTCAAATCCTGGAAAGCCACTGTCAAACTTTCATCGGTAGCTTTTTGTTTCTCTTGCAAGCCCCTTTCAATTCCTACTATTCCTGTTCTTAACTTGATTTGTGGCTGCTGATTAATAGGAGGGTTTTCTTGTATGGGTGCTCGAACATTACTCTCCCAATATCTCATTTGCAAGCATTTATTTAATGTACCAACAACATCGGTACTGTAACCCTCCCTAAAGGAGAGCTTAATAAAATTATATTGGCTATAAGGCGACGGTTTATCAGCATTAGGATCGTTATGCTCAGCCAAATGCAACAAAATCTTGCGCGAGCGCCTAAAAAAAGCCCCAGGGGACTCTTCCTCAATATAAACGATTAAATGGTTCGAAAGTCCCAGGCAAGTCTGTCCTTTCGCTATAGCTCCTGGTCGTCCCCACAAAATCCTATGGGTGGTTATTATGAGTTCTCCACCTTCAAATTGGGTTTTCACTTCCCCATCATATAAGCGAACATTGTTTTCGCATGTGAGAGTGCTTTCGTTGTCCATTAAAATCGGGGTCACATAACTAAATCTATTCATTTTGTATTTAGGTAAGTGTATATTGTATATTAGATTATTGATTATAACGGAATAAATTTAAAAAAATATATTATACACTTTTGGATGGTATACATGACAAGCACACACACCCACAAACCTACCACTACAGTCCTATGACTATGACTATGACTTGATCATAAGCCCTTCAACTTGGGACGCCTGTTCCTAAGAGGAGTTAACTCTATTAGCAGGCAGGACAAATTTGTTAAGCTTTTGCATTTATTTGCACTTTGTTTTTTGTTGATGTTAATTATGGAGAAGTCAACACGATCACACATCACATCAACAACAAAATATAGACATATAGACAAGACAAGTGTCAAGTCAGGGTGACGATTTGTTTTTAAAGTTTTTAGGTTAGGAACGATGATTCAGTTTGTTCGTCTGTTCACACTTCACAGTTGGCACAGAAATTTCAAATCAATCAGAGCAAATTTCATTGGTTGAAAATAGTCACAAAACTAGTTTCAACCAATGAAATTCACTCTGACTGGTTTGTGATTGTTGTATGAACAGACCTAAGTAAAAACAAGTTTGTGTCAAATTGTATGACTAGAATAGTAAATAGTTCTATGTTCTATTTTATTGTTTATTAATATTATTTCAATACATATTTCAGACAACGTTCTATAATACAGAACTCTCAGTCCAGTTCTTGGTGCACCATTCCAAGTATGGCTTTTCAATCGCCAATGCCTAGCAGGGATTTTTTATGGGACGTGTTCAAAAGGTAAAAAAATCCCAACATCCCAATTCCCATTAATAGTTTCCCAAGAAATACAAAATACCTACTATATCGTGTTCCAGAGTTGATAAAGATAGAAGCGGCTACATAAGTGCTGACGAGTTGCAAATAGCCCTTTCAAACGGTACATGGAGCCCCTTTAATCCAGAGACAGTTAGGTTAATGATTGGTAAGTAGATTTTCGAATGTAATACCCCAAGAGGTTTCAGGATTACCGCATAATACTTTTACCTGTCACGAAACGCGTTACGCAGCAATGGTGGTGTTGCTGGTAACGCGTTGAGTGTCAGGTAAAAGTCTTAAGGTAATCCTGAAACATCGAGTGGTATTCGAAAGGTTATACAAAGAACTAAACTTTAATACTTTAAAATTTAAAAAAAAAATTATAATAGAATTTGCTATAAATGCCACCAAGCACGATAATCCCCAAAGGCTTATCACTTTTAAAGCCTTTCGTGTCATATATGGGAATAATGTACAGTGAGTTGTATAACCAATTTAATAACCATTACAATACAGACTGTACACTTTGACCCTTGTTGTCAGCAATTTCTGTTTATATTTTGTAAGGTATGTTTGATCGTCACCAAAAAGGCCAAATTAGTTTTGAAGATTTCGGAGCCCTATGGAAGTACGTAACAGACTGGCAAAATTGCTTCAGGTCGTTTGACAGAGATCATTCAGGAAACATAGACAGAGAGGAACTCAAAACGGCCCTAACATCGTTTGGCTATAGATTGTCTGATAATTTAATTAACACAATGGTCAGGAAATTTGATAGACATGGAAACGGGACCATATTGTTCGATGATTTTATTCAAGCCTGCATTAACTTACATGTAAGTATAATGTTTTGCTAGTGTCCACAGAATTTAAAGAAAATAAATCATTTTAGACTCTTACCTCGGCATTCAGGAAATATGATACTGACCAGGATGGTTACATCACAATTCATTATGAACAGTTTTTAAATATGGTCTTCGATTTGAAAATGTAAACCAGAGAAAGTTAAATTATGTCAAATATGATGTCTACCTCTATCTATGCCAAAATATTCTAAATTCTTTTCATTTATATATTTCTATAATGATAATGGAAAGACACTTGTTGTGCCTAGTTTAATATTTTTTTATAATACAGGGTGGATTTTTGAATGTGCTCAACATTCCAAGTTTAAAAATTCAAGTTCTTGAGCTTCAATTTTAAATTTGAAATGTGATGTTTCAGGTCACTATTCCATGGCCACAGAATCCATTCCATAGAGTTAGACAATTATGGTCCGGCTTTCTCAATCTAATTGTTGTATTGTATCTAGAACTTCTTCACTTATGCATTATGCTCTATCAGATATTGGAGCTAAAGTTGAGTTGGGGAATACTAACCATGTTTTTATTATTCTATTTGTTAACGAATATTTTGCTTTTATCTTGTATGATATGCTGTTTTACTATGTTTAACGATTTTTGCAATTTTTGGGCTCAAAAAATTTCAATAATCTGACATTGTCTCACAAAATCGCTTATTACTGAGTTAATATTGCACAAAATATGATGCATAATTATATATTCTGAATCAAAATTAAATTATCTTTGAGATAAAATGAGTTTCAATTCGCTATCTTAAATACTTTTGAAGATATTGAGGCTCAAAGTTGAATCTTTGTCCCAAATTTCGCAAAAACTCCAAAGCCGTTTCTCTTAAAAGAGAAGCCCTTGGGCTCGGAGTCTTAGAGAACCTTTTTTATAACCCTTATCAAGAGCTACAATTGGGTAAAAGATTCTTGCCGATAACTTCACTGGTTCTCGAAATATGGCCTTTTGAAATTCAAATTTTGTTTTTGGAAAATTCCAATTTTTTTTTCAAATTTTTGACTTCACTAATCAAAAGAGGAGGTCAAAATTAGTGGAAAAGTGTTTTTTCGATGTTTAAGGGCTTGTAAAAAATTAGAAATTGATTGCACAATTTTGGACATTGTCTCAACAAAATCGCCTATTACTTTGTTAATATTTCACTTGAAAATAAAAGAAACATGTTTCAACATTTTATCAAAAACCCAGCGTTTTTATGAAAGACTTGCCCTCTCTATTTCTATTCTGTTCACAATCCGATGTCCACAGGTGCAGGTACATTTATCACCTTTCCCCAGGGCCGGTCCAATAGGTATTTTATGCTGAGGCAAAGTTCAATTCTGGCGCCCCCCTTCTCAAATTGATTTGTCAAAATGGTTAAAGATCAATATGATAAACAATGAATTTTAGGCTATCGCTTAGAGAGTAAGACAAAAAAGTAACTTTATTTTTTTCAGAAGCGTATATCATACGTTTACTTATTACATGAGGTCTGTTCTCACAGAAATCACAAACCAGTCGGAGTATTTTTGATTGGTGCAAATCGCCAGAAACTAGTTTTCTGATAGTTTATAACCAATGAAATTTGCTCTGATAGGTATGTGATGTCTGTGAGAACAGATCTATATTGTAGATATAAAAAAATAGATATATAGGGTGTCCGGAAAATACCGTAAAAGCTTTCCACTACGTAGTAGGGGACCCTTCAAGGAACCCCAGAAAAATAATTTAAAAAATCTGGTGGCATTCTTAAGAAAGTTATTAGCATTTTAATGTTTATTAAAATCGGCAACACTGAAAATATCCCGTTGACAATTTGTCACAGAATTAAATTAAATACCTATGTTATTACCTGGAAAATTCGAAGGTGACTGAAAAATGTCGTCAGATCAATTTTTCCTGTTGTAATTTAGAGATTTTGCAATTTTCATAATGCGTTTTAAAGGTTAACAACAATTATTTTAAAACTAATATGTAATGAATCAACAAAAGACGCCTAATAACCCTTTGTACAAAATATTGCAATTTGAAAGAAAAATCAAAAATAAGGAAGTGTAATTTCCACATTTACCTCTCCATATTTCCAAGAATGGTCGAGAAGAACTTTTTAAATTATTTTTCCAGGGTTACTCAAAGGATCCCCTACTATGTAGTGGAGAGCTTTTACGATATTTTCCGGACACCCGTGTATACCTAATATGTATTTTTCAAATTAACTGAACACAAAATTAGTTTTTCAAAACTATTAAATTATCAACACTAAAAATGAACCAGTCTGACTTAACATCTTGCAAAGTCAGAGATGAGTTCGTTGATAGGTTTATTCTCACAGAAATCACAAACCAGTCAGAGGGAATTTCATTGGTTGAAAATAGTCATAAAACTGGTTGTTGGAGATTTGCGCCAATCAAAAACGCTCCGGCTGGTTTGTAATTCCTGTGAGAACAGACCTACTATAATCTACACCAGGGATGCGCATCTACGCGTAAATAAAGGTTGTCTACGTTCTGGTGTAAACAACGCGTAGACAATGTAAACTATGTAATCTATGTAGACAACTTGTAAAATATGTAGACAATGCGTAAAGTATACAATTTTTGACAGTTGACAGCCCTTAACGTTATGTTTCTGTTTTTGCTTTGTTTTTTGTTTTTTAAAGTTAATTGAACTGCAGATAATGACTAATTGAATACAATATAAATTTAATGCAATGCAAAATTTCAAAAAAAATAACTCAAATTTCAAATTTTCCGTTGTTTTCACTATAGTCTACATTGTCTACATAGTTTACATAGTCTACATGGAAAAAAGTGGATGTAAACAATACGTAGATAACGAGTAGACAAACCAAGTAAAGTAGATTTCATAGTCTACGGCACATCCCTGATCTACACTATCTAACATGGTATAACCCTCGGGATCGAGTGTGTTCAATGGTCGAAGGTTATAACATTTTCAATTCTCAGAGCGAAAGTCCATTCAATCTGTTTTGAGACAAAGAGGATCGAAAGTGTCTTGATGAGCGGTGACAGGTGAGAGTGGTGATTCGTAAATTAACTATTACCGGACAATGTTGTTGGATCTTTTATTATCTCCCTATCATCCTTGTGATATAGAACATTTTTTTAAAATTTAACTTGTTCGCTCGAAATAAATTTGTTGTCAATTTGGCGCCCTAGGCGGTTGCCTTGGTTGCCTGTGCCTAAATCCGGCCCTGCCTTTCCCTATCAAATAGCATTGAAGGGTAATACATTTTACCCTTACCAGTGGACATCGGATTGTGAACGAATAATATGTAGTGTTACTCTGAGACCATGACATTGATAATAAGTAGGCACCTATCCATAACAAGATGCTTTATAAAAATGAACGACTACAAATTAAAACAACAACCAAATTTATATTTCCTAAAAATCCCAGGTACAGAGGGCCAAATTTGAAAAATGATTGACATCTAAATTCTCTACATCTTCTGAAAAAAAAATTGCTCAATAATTTTATTTAAAAAAAAAATCAAGTGCTTACCTCTATTAAATGCTACTTTGTCGCTTAGAGGCAATGCAGGCTTAAGTAACTCATTTAACGATAATGTTCTTTTCTTAATACTTTTAAACAAAGAATGGTTAAGTAACTTTCCAGCCTTTGGCCTGTGATTAGGGTTTCTACTCAAACACAACCCGGTTACTTCATGTAAATCCTTACTAAAACGTCTATTTACTATAATAGGACTTATAACACAGTCACCTTATGAAGAAACAATGTGAATTAATTACCTTAAAAATGACCATAGCTGATTATAACTTACCCTCAGTCTGTCTAGGAACAGTAGTACAGTCTAATAATTGAGGCACACATCCTCTAAGCTTTTCAGTAAGCATCAAAGTACACGCCATACCTAAAAAAGGCTCTGAACCGTTTGCCAGTTCACATATGAACATTCCTACACTGTACATATCCGATTGGTCATTGTAGCCTTGTAAATTTTGCTCCAGTAGCTCTGGACTAGTCCAATTTAACACTGGTTTTGGGTCTGACAGAAAAGAATGGACGTTATTTTGCCATTTACCCTTCAGCACCCTCAAACAGGAATATTTGAAGCCTGTTAGGCAAGATTTGCCTGTTTCAGAAACCAGCACATGACTGGCTTTAATTGCTCTGTGAATGTATCCATTTCTATGCATATAAGCTAATGCACACAATAAATCACGTAAAATAATTAGGATTGCTTGTTGAGGTAAACCTACAAACGATTATTGTTGTTTATGCAGACAGGTGAGGCCGTTTGAAGTTCACCATTATTGAAATGTTGATTTAGCAGGTCCCTACAAGAACAATACGCCATTAGTGGGCTTACCACATAGACATCGAAACCATGAACAAAGTTTGTGTGATATTGTAAAATGTTTGGATGTTGTAATTGCTTGGCGGTGGCAATTTCGAGCTGAAATTGATTTGGTTTGTGGACACATTCTGCTCAATTGAAAGCTACGAACTTACTTCAACTGAATAGGTTTGTTCAGCATTAGTCATTTTATCCATGTAGAATCGCTTCAAAGCCACCATGGTACTTGAAGGAATATGTTTGGCCAAATGCACTGCAGCCTTACCTTCCGAACACTCGCCCAGGATTGAGATAATTTTATAGTCGCCGAAATTACCCTTGAAAGTGGTCATTATACGGGTGCTTAACAATTTTAACCACTGGTAATTGGTAAACCAGTAATTATTAGTTTTTTTTGTGTGTTTATTTTGTTTTGGATAATAGAAAAAGTAGGGTTATGGTCCACATCCATTTAGGACAATCCAGTCCATCTGTCAAAACGAAAAATTAATGGTGCGTGCGTACCACTGCCTCCCTAAGGTCTGAACCCAAGAATCGTCTGAACCGGTTAGCGTTAGTGCGGTGCAGTTATGTTTTGGAACGCAACCATCTAAACTACACCGGAAAATGCAACGCTGAACCACAGTATATACAAAAATTGTTTTTGTATATGCTGTGGCTGAACGGTACGAATGGTGTAAAAAGTGCGACATTAATGACGGGTCAGGGTAAAAAGTGTCAGTAGTTCGGACTTATCCTACGCACCATCAATATGGCGTGGCGGCCAGCAAGTTTGTTTTGAATACGTGTTTTCATAGATATTTACATTATTTTGCTTCGAGTTTTGCTTGCAGCTTTGATTTTGACTATTCAATAAAATATTTGTTTACATACGTAAACTATTAAGTCGGGCAGAAACTAGATATTTTTTTGTCTTTTTGGTCCATGTGTGGCCGCCACGCCATCTTGAATGTCATGTGGTTTGAATCAGCGCAGGGACTCTGTGTCATGTAGAATTTTACCTATGGCCGTTTTCGATTCGCAGCCCGGTTCGGCCTTGGTTGGTTCGGATTTAACAAAAGATGGTTGACAGCTTTTGAATTTTTTCTGTCAAGAAAGAAGCCATGTTTTAAGGTTATGAAAGCAAGCCAAAATTCAAACCAAAATTCGAACCAACTCGCGAAGCTGGTTCGAATTTAGACGGACCAAGGGATGCCTGTCACGTCACCGGTTTGCAATCGAAAACGGTTGGTTCTAATTTGGTTCGCCTTGAAGACGGACCAAAGCGAATCGAAAACAGCCAGGATTCTAGGCCGTGCGACATGCAATATTTTTCGATATGTCGAATTCTACATGAGACGGAGTCCCACCCCAGGGAACGAAAACCGGAACGAAACCGTTTTTTTTTTGCGGACCGGAACCGGAACGGAACCCATATTTCATAGAAATGTTGTAAGGTAGACAGAACCGGAACCGATATGAATGAATCGGCTTTCACCGGTATTTTTCGGTTTCAAGATTTCATAAATTAGGCTGTTTGCTGTTAGTTCGTATCGTAATAAATTTATTAATTTAATACTCCAAAAACAGAGGGTTGGAAAGCGCGAATTTCTGAATTAGGCAAGGCTACACCAAGGATACTACACATTACACACTACTACAGGATAGCTCATCGGCCTTGAATTTTGGAATCAATTTCATATGGTGTTGCACCGTTGACGACGTCATCAACGGTGTCGTTAGCGGTTTGCGCCAGCGGTCGTAGTTAAGAATATACATTTATGATGAAAAATATTATTTAATTTTGAATTAGCAAAATAGGCAAAGAGAAAGAGAGAGAGAGAGAAATAGGATGTTAATTAATGTACTAAAACCAAGTATCCATAAAGCAAAAGTCCGCGGAATCATAATCTATGGTGCAAACATTAGATTGCAAACACCCTACGTCAAGGCGAGAAACCACACGCTGCGACGTCATCACCGATACTTTAATTTTTCTGTTAAATATATTTTTTAAATTTTTCTGTTAGATATTTGTGAAAAACTATACCGGTATGAACCGTTAAAACCGAAATTATTGGTCCGAATCGAATCCAAATATTTCTCTTAGAACCGGAACCGTAACAGAACCGATATTATTTGTCATGACGCTGTGAACCGGAACCGGAACTGAACCGATATGTTCAACTGCTCTGTTCGCTTGGTTGCCAAGAGTTCAGCGTTCAGGTAACTTCTCAAAATATTTTTTTTACGAGCGTGCGGAAAAGTACACTTTTCTGCACGCATTTAAGGTCATGAAAGTACCACTTTTCCGCACTAGTGCGGAAAAGTAGAATACCTAAAATTTTTAGACTACCTGTATACCTATACATACCCTACAGGTATACTACAGGTACAGTAACGGAAAAGTGAGAAAAAAAAAATCTTAAATTGGTAAAAATATTAACTTTCATCTCGCAGAAAAAATAGTGTACTTACCTAACTCGTGCGGAAAAGGGAAAAGGGGTACTTTCCACACTAGTTAGGAAATTTACTATTTTCGCGAATTCTGTACTAACAGATAAAGATCGTTATCTCTATCGCTATATAGCACTTTGCTGTCTTCTTCTCTCTTTTTCGAAATCAATAGAGAAGGGAAGTCAATAGAGATAGAGAAAATATCTCTAATCCTTACAGTGAGGTGTCTTCTCGCATTTCAAAATTTCGAAAAACTGATTTAGAACACTTTGACAATGACGTCATAGTCATAACTTCTCGGCGCGAGAAAATGATCTAAAAACGTGGATTGGATTGTATTTCAAAACGGTCTGAATAACCTTGGGTTTGAGTCACTTTTGTATGACGTCATGGGTTCATCGCGAGAATATACTATTTCAAACCTGTTTTGAACCAGTTCCAGAAAAGTAAGCGCGAAAAAAAAGTTCTGTTTCTGAAACTATGTCCAAATGACCTAGAATATTCAGAGATTGTACAATCCTCTATTGGGATGAATCTAAATCATAAGGTAGCTACCTCAGTACTAAAACAATGATATTTCTTTTTTTTTTTTGATATTTTGTGTCTCAATGGTCCTTTGTAATCCCCCAGACTCCATACACTAAATAATTATTCCATGATAAGTATGAAACCGAAATCTATGAAAAAAGGCACTCAGAAAATTGCTTAACACGATTTTAGTTCAGGGAACTATATAAGTCCCAATGAGCTTAACTTTTAAGCGAATGTAATCCTCTACTGGAATAAGAATCGCTGAAAATTTCAGCGTTCTATCTCTAATAGGAAAAAAGTTATGACCATTCAAAGTTTTCCAAAATCTAAATCATAAGGTAGCTACCTCAGCACTAAAACGATGAAATTTCAATTTTTTTTTGTTGAGTTTTTAGGTCCCAATGCCAATGGTCCTTTAGGATTCTCCAAACTCCATACACTAAATTATTCTGAGATTTGCAGCCGGATTCTAGAAAAAAGGGCACTCAGAAAAATTGAAAAATTGATAAATCGCCCAAAATTGCTTAACACGATTTTATTTTTGGAACTATAATTCCAAATGAGCTGAAATTATCAGGGGTTGTAATACTCTACTGGAATAAGAATTGCTGAAAATTTCTGCTTTCTATCTCTAATAGAAAAAAAGTTATAAGCTTTGAAAATTTTCCATAATCTGAATCATAATGTATTAAATGTATGTAGTACCTACTACGTATTTAAAACGATGAAATTTCATTTTTTTTTTTAGATTTTGCGTTTAACTGATCATCAAACTCCATACTTATACTAAATTATTCTGAGATTTGAAGCCAATTTCATTGAAAAAATCACGTCAGAAAAATTGAAAAATCCGAAAATCCACACTACATTTTTTAAGGCGATTTTCTCTCAGAAATGATAATAAGGTCCAAATGAGTTGAAAGAATCGATGAAAAATCAACACTTCTCTTTGCCTCATCCCATCACAAATCGAAGAACTTTAATTCTGGGAGCTTCAAACCTCTAGTTCCTATGATAAAAACTTCTGGATTTGTTTAATGCTAATTTGCAAGATTTATAGCATATAAAACGCGTTTTCTATTATTTTTAATAAACAATTATATTTTTAATTCATACAGTCTTTGAAAGATATTATTTTCTTCAACAATTATAGATATCACAAAGAGTTAGAGACATTCATCTTCTTTGATACAAGATACAAATAGCTTATATTGTGTCTAGGTAGGTACTATTTATCTGGAAGATAGTGTTCCATGTTCTTTAAGTGGTCGTAGAACATATCTTCCGGTGGTCCTAAACCCAGTACTATCCAGGCTGTGAACGCCAAAAGGGCTCGCCAGAGAGATAAATGGTTCCACGTTTTTAGTTCAGAGTGAGTTATCTGAAGAAGAAATATTAAAACAACGTGGCCTCAAAAAATTATAAGCTTTTACCAAGTTTTCTGTAAAAGTATTATTTTGAGCCAAAATTTCAGTATGGTTCGAGTCATATTTGGGAGTCTCAGCCGTGTAGTTCCTATAGGCCAATAAAGATAGTTTTTCATCATAGGGCGCAGTTGATAAATGTACAGTGAGGCAGGTTACATACACGATAACAACAAAAGAACATTTCCTTTGTTTGAAAAAGAGAGTTAAATCGTTCGACTCCAGATGACCGACGTCCATTCTAAAACAGAAACTTTTTGCTCTATTTTCAAAATAATTATTCATCAGCTTACCTATCAAATACTGATATAATACAAAGGACACACAAGGCAAAGAAAATTCCTACATAGATATCACTATAGTAAGCGTAATGAATCAAAAAAGCGTGGTCTTGAGTTTGCAGATTGCAAATAATGTAGAGCCAGTGTCCTAGGCCTAAACCGCCTAAAAGTCCATGGCAGAGGGTGGAAATTCGCATCCACCATTTTTGAAAGCAGATTGCTATTTCTATTGGATATCTCGAGCTCAGTCTAAAAGTAAGAATCATAGAAGGACCAAACTATTCACTAAAAATTCTTACTTTTTATCCAAGTTGCTTAAAGAATCTAAGTCTTGAGCGCTTTGACGACTCAAAGGTATGTTACTGTGCCTGGTAGTTTCTTCAAATCGCGATTTTTTTTGCACGTAGATTTTGTCAGATCTTCTAGGACTTTTTTTCATTTTTTCTGCTTTTTGACCAAAATCTTCAATGTTGTTTTCGAAAACGTCATCTTGAAGCTCTTCCAGTGCCAATGTCACGTCGGTTTTCAGCTGGTCCTCGTCAATCTTGGTCCTGTTTTTGTGTTTTCGTTTAGCAGCATTTCCGTTAGAGGCAGGTGAAACTTCTCGCCTTTTCTTCTTGCTTTTTCGCTTTTCCTTTGGTATCATCATCTCTCTACTATCTCCTATTCCCAATTCGGAATCCCCATAACGTTTTTTCTTAGATTTGGATTTTTTACTGGAACTAGTTAGAACTTCGTCAGGATCTCTGGAATTATAAAGGTCTTGGATTGTATTATAGGCATTACGTTCGTCCACATCCATTTGGGAGTATTCTTTCCGTTTGCGATAGTGCTTTTTTTCTTCGGGACTTAACAGTTCCAGATTACCGGAAAGTTCTTCTGGTATTTTCTCATCTTCGTAAAAACTCAAACTTTGAGGCCTGCTCTCAGTGAAGTGTGAGTGTTTGTTAATATCTCTTTTCATTTCAGTTTCTATAAGAGATATAATTTTTGAGTTTATTTGAGTTTCTCCATCTACAGATATTTCTCTGCTCGGAATATTTACCATAGCTACTACGATAATTAGATACTTATTGGGTATAAACTGTATTTAAAAGATAAAAAGCTTACCGCTATAATTCTCGTTTTTGTCACTCTTTGGCACGTCCAGATTGTCCTCCGAATTGGCATAATCATTATCCGAACTTGTGGTGGACTTTATTTGTTTATGAACTTGCGCCACAATTTCTTGCTTCATATTTTCAGTTTTTTGTTTGTGTTTCCTCTGTCGAGGCGAGGATAATTTCACGGCAGTGCTCATGATGGTGGACCCCCACGCAAACTTTATTGATCCTGGTCTTTGGGGTAGGAGAATTTACACTTGATGGATTTTCACTATGCCTATATAGTTTACTGATGTACTGTTTTGATGAATTATATTTTATGTTACATTGTTAATTGGAAACGGGTCCCAATAAGGGCCTCAAAATCATATTTTGTTTTACGGTCACACTGCCACTGTCGTATTTAATAAAGAAAACATAAATTTGCTTTGTGCGCATGTTTGTGCCAGTTTTTTTTTTACACAAGGGTGTAAAGGTTCTGACCTTTCCTAAATTGGGATTTTCCAAAGGCCGCTGCCGCAATAATTGCGGATTTTTTGGAGGACAAATTTGTAAAGGAAAATCAGCAATAATGCTTGCTTATTTTAATTATTTTATTTGCAGTCAAAAAATTTGTGCAGGTCACATGAAATATAATTGTGTTATTTTAGAAAATACTAATTATGCAGGTACATGTTATTTTTTCAAAAGTGTATATAAATATTCCAAGTTTCAATGCCTATCTGTAGTTTGAAAATTCCGTGGCTTTTCTTCGAGAAGATCCTAAGTCTTTCCTTTGCAAAATTTTCCTTTTTTAGCTCAAAAGGACTATACCTCTACCGAATGTTTTTTTGGATTTTTTTTTATTTACAATAATACATGTAATGTTGACTTTTCTGACTTTTAAAAAGTTTGAAAATGTAACTTTTTTGACTTTTACTTTCCACCCACGGGTCGGAAGTTTACTTTCCTCCCGTGGGCCGAAAGTAAATGAAATTGGTAAATTTTATTGAATTTTTTTAGTTTTCATTTAAATAGAAAATACAAAATTTGAATGATTGTAAATGAAATAGTATACATAGGTACGTCGGTTAAAAGTTTCATTACTATATTGAAACACTTTCCACCTCGGTAATCGGTATGTAATATACTATTTCCCACGATCAAATATACGAAAATGACAAAATCCGCACTACACGCGTGCCGAAAGTACTTTCAATTGGTGTGGAAAATACTGTTGACATTATTTGTGATTCACAATCACAATTTACTTTCAATACTTACTTGGGTTGAAAGTACTTTCAGCACGTGTGTTGACTGTTGTGTAAATGAGAATAAATAAAATAAGAGAGAATTGGTGTATATCCGTTTCTGGATGGTAGGAAAAATGGTGTACCTACCTACATCACTTGTGAGAAAGCTTTTTTCATTCACTCCGTGTGATTTTCGCATCCGGCTACCGCCTCGCGCGAAAAAATACTCGTGTGAAATATGTCACTTTCTACACTAGTAATGTAATATAGTATTTCCTACTCCTACGACCACATACGAAAATCAACACAACAACAACAACAACAACAACAAAACCCGTACTGGTTGGTTCTTTGGAGAGCGCTAAATATCACATGCGTACCGAAAGTACTTTCAATACTTATGCTAAAAGTAGGTGGTACCTACATGCTTTCAGCACACGTGTGGAAAATACTGTTAACATTATTTGTCATTTTCATTCACATCACAATTTACTTTTAATATGTGGGTTGAAAGTACTTTCAGTACCTATTGAAAGTGAAAAGAAATAAAAGAGAAAATAAGTGTAAATCGGTTTCTGGTGAGTTTTATTATTGTTCATAAATTTTAAAATCGAAAAAGCATAACAAACAGCCAAACATTCGCATTTATAATAGGTCTGTTTCTGCAGAAATCACAAACCAGTCACAGTGAATTTCAGTGGTTGAAACTATAGTTTTCTGACTGTTTTCAACCAATGAAATTCGCTGTCACCGGTTGGTGATTTCTGCACAAACAGACCTATTATAAATGCAAAATTTATTTTAATTTGCAATGCAATTGTTGTAAATTAAAAAAAAAAGTGTGATTTTAATTTCCGATTCGTAAACTTGTCAACGCCGCGTCCCAAATAATCACAAATCCCGGTGATTTCAGAACTTCAGAAGCCAAAAAAGCGCGCGAACAAAAAGTTGGTTGATGCTGGTTCGCTATTGGGCGTAGCAAAGGGAACTTTGAAAATGCTGCTTTCCTATTGGGCGTAGGAATATTGAAGACGAAGCACGAGACTTGGACCTTGGCGCCGTTCTCTTCTTTTACACACACACTCGCGAAAGGGTGCCAATTTTTTGGGCTCTCAGTAAATTTTAGTTTTGAGTTGTAATAATGTTTGTTTTTTCTCGTTATGTGTATTTAAATTAGTCTTTTGTTTCCTATTTTTAATTCCACAATAAAGAAATCTTCTGTTTTGATACTTAAAGCCCGTAAATTCTCGATCGAAGTGACGTAGTTAAACTGAGGCAACATGGGAAAAATACAATAGAGTTTTCACCAGGTAAGTAAGTAGGTACTTACCTTCCTACTAAGGCTCGATTTTTTCATATCCAGATAAACTTGGCGGTAACTATCTGCAAGATAAATTAACCCTTCTATAATTCTATTGGTGGATACAGTGGGGGGCAGGAGGGGGAAACTGCCCCCCTTTTTAGTCTCAAGAACTTCAACCTCAAACAGTAAATCATTAGTGGTTGACTTGATGTATTGTTTTTTTTTCGGGATGCGCTATATTTGGTTCTATATTCTTGAAAAACACAATTTCCGCTTCCACCTGTACAGGTAGAATATGGTTCACAAAATCAGTAGTAGGATAGTATTTTTACAATTTTTGGAGCCAAATATATGAGAGATTGCTCAATCAAATATAGATCGGGGGGTGCTTCAAGAATATAGAATGGAATATAGGGCATCCCATTTAAAAGAAGCATGTAAAATTTCACATTTCTGATATTCAAATTTTGTTTCTGACCATGGTTTCTAAAAATTCAGCCAAAACTGTACAACTTTTGTATTTACACCTTTCTTGTACCTGTAAAGGTAAAGGCTATAGGTGGGGTGTCAATACATAAAAAACACCCTGTACAAATAAGTGGATTATTGCGGAACTTATGGGTGGACCTCTGCGGGACGATCGCAGTGAGTTCCGCAGCCATCTGCTCACCAATATACTGTTAAACTGTTCAAATAAGACACTCACCTGAAACCTGTAGTTTTTGAACTAATGAGAGAAATTCACAACTGAGTCAATCAGGTTAGTATTGTACTAGAACAACATATTGGTGAATAGATGGTTGAGTCCACCCATAAATTCCGCAACAATCCACTCGTTTGTACTTGAAAACTTGTCACAATATACAATGTGTCCACTTAAGTTCGCAGCATATGGGAAACTTTTTTATTATCAATTTTACGAAAAAAAATTATTCTTTATAAAAGTTTCTGCTTCTTGCTTTCTGCTTTTTTTCAGATTAAGCAAGTCATATTATAATCGAAGGATACCTTTCGTTATCACGAACAAATCTGCCAAATTTGAAAAAAAAAAATGGAAAAGGGATTTTTGAGCTTAAAAAACGATTTTTTCTAAAACTTTGACACCGTGTATTTCAGAAACTATGCATTTCCGGACACATGTTTATGGGAACTTTTTTTCTTAAAATATTGTAAGGAATCACGTCCTAAAGTAACGGACCGTACTTCGGAAACACCCTGTATATTTTTCTATTTTTTGACCACCCTGTAGATAATATTTTAAGTTTCAATAATTTAATAGTATTTTTTGAAGAAGCAGAAACTTTTATGAAGAATAACTTTTTTTCGTAAAATTGATAATTAAAAAGTTTCCTATATGCTGCGAACTTAAGTGGACACACTGTATTACTAGTTTGTTAAAGTAACATTATGTACTAATTCCAGTTAAAAGGCCAATTGACAAAAAGTAGATAATCTTACAACAAATTCTGATATTATATAATAAGTTAAGCAACTGCTCTATCTGATCACTAGGCTCAAACTCTGAGGGTCGTGAATGCGGTCGCCCCAGAGTGCAACTTCATGCCCTTCAAAAAGCGCTCTTTTTCAGATGGTAGATTGTCTCACTTTAAGCTTGAATTGCAGAGGGTGGATTGGTTTGAAGTGTATTCTCAACAACAGGTAAATACTGCATACCATGTTTTTAGCAGTATTTTGGCTCAATACCTCAACCTGATATTTCCTGAGAAAACCATTAAAGCCAAACCAAAAAAACCTAAGTACTGGATGACTTGTGGGATTAAAATTTCTTTAAAAAACAAACGAAATTTGTACAAAGAAATGATAAGGGATAGTATCACAAAACATTTTTTTAAAAAATATTCAAAAAAAAACTGGGTACAGGGAAACGGGGAAAAAAGAAAAGAATCGTTGCTTGAAAACTATTCCAAGAAATACCCAAACAAAGAAAAGAATGATATACTAAATGAAATAAATGATTTCTATATAAACCTATGTCCTGACCTCAATACAAATATAGATGGCATCTCAAAAAATATACCTTTTTACCCAAAAAATTTATTTTTAAAACCTACAAATGCTAATGAGATCAAGCATGTCATATCCAAATTAAAAAATAAAAAAGCAGTAGGGCAAGATCAAATCCCAGTCATTTTAATCAAAAAAGTGGCAGATGAAATTGCTGAACCACTGTCTCATATAATTAATTTAATGCTTGTCACAGGAGTATTTCCAGATAAACTGAAAATAGCCCAAATTATTCCAATTTATAAGAAAGGAGACGCTCAGGAAATAAAAAATTTTCGACCAATTGCACTCTTGAATAACTTTAGCAAGATATTTGAGAGGATAATATATGATCGCGTTATTTCGTTTTTTGAGAGTGGGCAGTTGCTCTCAACATATCAGAATGGGTTTAGGAAGAAAAAAAAGTACCACCAGAGCTATTTATCAGGTACTAACTAAAATCTTGGAGTCCCTTAATGGGAGAAACGAGACAGTGGCGATGTATTTGGATTTGTCTAAAGCTTTTGACAGTGTTAATCATGATGTGCTGCTAGCAAAACTAGAAAGGTATGGATTGAGGGGCGTTCCTTTACAACTAATATCATCTTATCTATTTGATAGAAAGCAGCAGATTATTGAAAGACACAATGGGGAAACATTAACATCAATTTCTAGCCAGGTCAAAAAAGGTGTACCTCAGGGATCAATCCTTGGACCACTGCTGTACATTATCTATACTAACGAGCTTGCAAATATAACTGATCAGTTTACGGTCCAGTTTGCGGATGACACTTCAGTAGTCTTTTCGGCAGAACGAATGGAGGAATTGAGTAACAAAATTCACACAACTTTGAGTTCCTTTCAGGGTTGGTTTGACTCAAATAACCTGGTTTTGAATTTCGAGAAGACACAGCTACTACGTTTCTCATATCAACGGGATTGGTCTCCCACTCAGTTTGTTTGTGGTGATGGTATACCTTTGAACACTACAAGATCGGCCAATTTCCTGGGGGTCAAAGTGGATTCACGGTTGGACTGGAGTGACCATATTGACTGCCTGGCTGGCCAAATATCAAGGCTGCCTGGCTGGCCAAATATCAAGACTGCTATGCCCTGAGGGTGCTAGCACGTGAGGTAAATTATGAGGTTGCATTAACTGCTTACCATGCTTACATTCAATCAAGATTGAGGTATGGAGTTGTATTCTGGGGTAATAGTCCCGAAGTCTCTCGAGTTTTTATTGCACAAAAAAGATGTATAAGAGCAATATTTGCTATGTACCAGACAGATAGGTGTAAACCCATATTTAGGGCTCACAACATATTAACATTACCAAGTCAATATATCCTGGAAGCAGCATTGTTTGTTAAGCAAAATCCTGACCTTTTTCTTGAGCACATTAGGGGGCATTGCTATGATACAAGGGGAAGGACTGATCTTGTCAATGTGAGAAGCAATTTTACTTACATACAAAAAAACGTTCAATTTCAATTATAAAAATTTTCAACAAGCTACCTTCAAATTAGCAAAGCTTGCAATTCGATAACCTTAAACATAAGTTGAAAAACCACTTACTTCAGAGGGCTTACTACTCGGTGGAGGAATTGTATGAGGACAATTTGAACAACGAAAATTGAAATGAGGTTCAAACCAATATATGTATTCTGATGCTCAGTATTGTATTTTATAGTGTATTTTCATGTTGTATTTTATTTTATATTGTATTTTTATATTCTTATATTTTATATTTTAATGTGTAGTATTGTATAAATGTTGTTTTTTTTTTTTTAAATGTGCTCGTGACTTAACTTATTTATGATTTTAAATTCAAAACAGTCAATTCAATTTATATTTGGCTTGTAATGTTAGATTAGGTTATTTTAAATTGACACGTTCTATGTCCGAAAGGGCTTTTGTGATAATTTTCTTTATATTTACAATTATGGAACAAATAAATGCTATGACTATGACTATGACTAAGTTATTGTTCAAGTACAAATAAGTGGATTAGTGTGGAACTTATGGGTGGACCTCTGCGGGACGAGCGCAGCGAGTTCCACAGCCATCTAATCACCAATATACTGTTGAACTGTTCAAGTAAGACCTTCACCTAAAACTTGTAGTTTTTGAACTACCTAATGAGAATAACTGACATTTGAGTGAGTCAGGTTAATATCATACTTGAACAACGTATTAATGAATAGATGACTGCGGAATTTGTTGCGCTCGTCCCGCAGAGGTCCACCCATAAATTCCTCAACAATACATTCGTTTGTACTTGAATAACTTGTCACATTATGTTACTAGTTTGGTAAAGTAACATTACTTATAATTCCTGTTGGAAGGCAAATTGATAAAAAGTGAATTCTAACAAAAAGTGGATTCTAACAAAAAGTGAATAATCTTACAAATTCTGACTTTATAAGTTATTGTTCAAGTACAAATAAGTGGATTGTTGCGGAACTTATGAGTGGACCTCTGCGGGACGAGCCAAGAAAACTTGTTCATTTTATTATTTTGAGCAACTTTTCTCTATAACTTTTTTTTGTAAAGTTGAAAATAGGCGAACTACCCCTAAAAACAAAAAGGTGGTGGAAAAAAAATCCTTTCAATACAATGTTAATTGCACCTTTTTATATGCACTGAAGGCGAGAAAAGAAAAAAAAATTAACATATATCCCTAAAAACTAAAATTTCCCTAAGGGAAGTGTCCCCCCGCTGAATGGGGGCGAGTTACAAAAAAAGTTGATTGGGAAAAATTGTAGGAAATGTAATCTTATAAAACTTTTATAGGGAAATTTTTTGTGAAAAAATAAATAAATTTTAAACTACCCCTATTGAAAAACGGCAGAGGGTGAGTAAAAACTTCATGGAGCAAAAATGTTGTATGTGTTATAGAAAGTTTTTTCACGTTGGTTAAAATTTTTCATTTTCATTATAAAATTTCAAACGGCCCTTATGACCACAAACGGCCCTCAATCAAAAAAGTCTTCAGATAAACATTGTAGATAAAATAATGTTGCATATCTTTTATTTGAAACATTTTTTTGTAAAATCAATAGGTACCAAGTAATCGCCAATGGCGCACTTCCAACGCCTATAGCGCAAAACGCCAGAGGGGTGAATGTTTGATATTTTCGGTTTTATGATCACCCACCCGCCCCCTATCATCCCTGAAAAGTTCATTTGCGTAGGAATTTTTTTTTTGCAATACATGTATTTTTCGACTATTTTCCTAGACTAACAACATATTGATGAATAAATGGCTGCGGAATTCACTGCGCTCAACCCGCAAAGGTGCACCCATAAGTTCAGCAACAATCCACTGCCAAAACTGTACAACTTTTGTATTTACACCTTTATTTTACCTGTAAAGGTAAAGGCTGTAGGTGGGGTGTCAATAGATAAAAAAAAAGACACCAAAACCCAATCTGCTTACTTTAACTTAAACTGCCCCCCCCCCCCTTTTCAATAGGCCTGTATCCGCTCCTGATTGGTTGGTGGATAGATAACTAACCAACCAATGGAATTACAAATTAAGTTTTTACCAGATTGCATACCTGATAGTTTATCAAAAGCTGAATAAACCGGCCCTTAGAAGAATAAAATTCTTGATTATTTAACTTATAAATATGTTACTCAAATCGCGATGCCTACAGTGACTAAATAAGCCTTTACAAACAGTGGTCACAATAGAGGTCCCGTCGCCATTTTGTGCCCTAACTCTTACTAATTTTAAATATGAATATACTAGTGATGCCTAATTAAACTGAATTAAAGCTATAAAATAAGTCGTAGAAGAAGCGATTATTCCAAGCAGAGCCCATGGTTCGATTCTGAAAAAATCCAAAGCAGTAAATCTGAGTCGATTTTCTGAAATAAATCTCCATAACGACTCGATTTCTTTGTGTTCGTAAGATTCGTGTAGAAATTTGTCTTCTAATTTATAGCAATTCATGAGTAAATAGTCTAGTTCAGTTGCGATTTTTGCGTAGGACATTGTGATTAAGTAAGGGGGAATCTAAAAAAAAAACATACAGAAAAATTTATTATAATTATTTTCCATAATAATTATTTGAGTTTAAATATTTCAACAAGGAGGCCTAGATCCAAACGGAGGGAAGCCGATGCTGGTTGTGCATCGATTTTTTATATTTTGCTAGTTGATAATAACACTGACCTCCTAAATTGCTTGAAACCAATGACAAAACTTTCAGGATTTGCACTCTTTTCCCTATAGGTAGTACCTACTTAACTATATTACTAAATTTTTCCAGTTGAGATTTGAAATCTATTTTTTGAATAAATATTGAATATATTAGACATAAATGTGTAGTTTTCCGTTTTCCATAATAGATTTGGCTAAGGCAAATCCACACCATCTCACTACAGATAGTTAAGTAGGTAGGTACCCATTATAAGCCCCCCAAAAGATACTATTTTCTCAATTTCTCTATAGCAAAAATGACTGAAAATGGGTTTCCTTTATTACTTACCATCCCAAGTAGACCAAACACTGCGGTAACAATAAACTGTAACATATCCAGTTTCAAGTTTTTTTTAAATTTGTCCGGGTTCCACATTTGCACGACGGTAATCAAAAGCCACAGAAGTCTTGTCGCCGCGTTAATAAAACATATTAGAATTTTGAACCCAAAAAAATTGTTAATCAAACAATTTATATCTGTGGCAGACAAGTATAGTCTCTTAGCCATTTTTATTTGGGTTATCGAGTAGAGCTGGTTTTTATGTAAATTCCTGAAAATCTGATGCATTTGTTCTAATTTTTGTTCGATTGCGTAGGTGAAAATTGATATGGTGACTGCACTAGAATTTTCATAGTAAAAGCATATGATATGAGTTATTCTTGAAATGATATCGGATGCACAAATTGGCTCATACAAATTCCATACAAGTTCCACTAGAGACATGCCGACCAGGGCAATGTCACATAGGCCAGTATAAATTAGAGATATTAATAAAAACGTGGCTTTTTTATTTTGCGTGGAAGTTTTTAGTTGATTGGTAATTTTATATAATTTTATCCAGAGCTTATTCTTGAGTATACAATTTACAAAATAGCTCAATATCGATACCAAATTGTTTATTGTTCTCAAAATATCCACGATGACGTAAATACTGTTCAAGTGTGGATGAACGTTAACCATACGATATTGCAATATGTGTATTGTCAAGATTACAATCATTAATGAAAAAACTATGGATTTTATCAACATTATAAAGGCCATTTTGTTCTTCTCACCATAATCTTTATGTGGTAGAATAGAAGAAAATTCTGCTATTGCTAAAAATACACGCAAGGGCCTTTTTATAGAAAACGACAGCATTTTTGCTTGGAAACCATCTACTAACTGTAATTTCCCAATTACAATAATGCATTTTGTTGATTACTTACCTAATTGGTAAGTGATAATAAATAATAATAGGGGCCCTAATTATCATTAGTATCTACTATATTAGTTTGTATTTACATTTTGTACAAAAATAGAGTTTTTCACAAAAACTTAGATACTTCTTTGGAAACGTTTTTCTTGTGTTCTGCCTCTGTTATCCGAGATTGCTAAAGACCAAAATGAAACAATAATAAATAAATAATTATTATAAAAAATGGTAGTTACTTTTAAAGCATCTTTCAATTCAATATTGAACAATCGTACCAATCCTCTCAAATTTCTACTAATGATTTTATTAAATTCGCTTCTCTTAATTTTGTATGGCGCTGCTGTTGTGGTCAGGTTTAATTCACTTGATAGAGTGACTGCTTCTGTTACCTAATGATGCAGCGGAATATTTTGGTGAATTAGTTATTTAATAAAATAGGTACTTACTGGTGCGTTTTCGGGAAGAAAATTATCATTAATCATATTGCTCACTTTACTAAAAGTGTCTTTTGTGTCCGTGTATTGCTGAAAAGCAATAAATGTATCTACATTTTTTCAGTATTATTGGGAACATACCTCGCCAATTACTGAAAATAATGTTTTAAAAAAACCAGCCTTATGTGTGCTTCTTTTTTCTCGTATTATATTGTCAGCAATATTATTAGCTTCTACTTTGGGTATCTGCAAATTATGATAATTGGCATGTGTACTATAAAAATTAGTTGTATGCTAAAAAAACTTACTGGAAAAAATTCTTCTTCAAATGTTGGGATTGGGGAGCCTCCATGAACTGTAGTTATACCAAAGTTTATACCAATATAGAGTGACATTGATAACAAAAAAAATATATTTCGTTGTATCGTTTGAGGCATAGCCTGAAATAAATAGGTATATTTACTTATGTTACGAGTTTGGTAAATATCAGGGTGTTTAAAGGTTTGACTACACGTGAATTTATAGGGCCTAAGTATTTTGAAAACAAAATACACATGATAACATGAAAATATACCATGATAATTTAGGGTTTAGTATGTTTACATATATCTGCACAACCAACGTTGGCACTGATATGAATCTATAATTATTTTCCAGGCCAAATTCCGGACTTTAAAATTATGTAATTTGCGCTACAAAGTTTGGTAAACCCGCATCGCTTTCACTTCTAAATAATTATTGTTAGGCTTATGAACTCACCAAGGCCGTTTCTTGACACCTTTTCGGCTAATGCAGTTTTTGGTGTCTCACCCAGTCTTAGCCTTATACATTTTTAAGTGGAGCATCTAAGATAATATACCTAGCTTTCTGAAATTCGACAGGTCATTCAGCGAAAGGCAATGCCTCAAATATATTCATAAATTTGTGTATTCCTGCAACACCTACATTGCACATTTTTATGATTATTTATAACTAATTCAGCCAAGAGCACACATTCTTCACAACTATAATATTTTCACGTTGAAGCAAGCATGACTTGAAAGTAAATATGAATACCCTACCTACTACCAACTACTGACATATTTGGAGTACTTTTGATTGTTTTCTCTTTCTGTACCTACCTGCTGCTGTTAGTTGTAAAATCACAGCATGTGCGATTACAACTTTGAGAACAGCAGTATATGGTATTACAGTTTTGATTTTATAATCCTTGGAATTTAAAATGTGTCCGCTTACTAGTTTTTCTATGTGAAATCAATTTTATTTAAAAATTGTACAACATAATTTTTTTTTATTGCACACGCACATAAATCCAGCTGAAATTTTCAGGGATTGTAGTTCGTCTACTGGGATAAGAATCGCTGAAAATTTCAGTTCAAAAATAAATGTGCAACCTTGATCAAATGAATATGCAAATAGCCTTTAATCCGTATGCCTTTTACTTTAAGTCAATAATGTAAATCTATTAAATTTTATTTTACTCACTTCTAATGATAAAATAGGTAATCCACTCTCTGGAAACATAAATAAAACAGCTTCCACATTCAACCACTCTTGCACAGCGTTTTTCTTCAATTGTATAACTGTTTGGCAAGTATTTTACCATTTTTACCCCACCCTGTATAAAAGTTATGTCAATTCAGTCAAGGTCAGCAATAACCATTAGCCGACTTTACTTTCTTATATAATTATCGTCAATTTTGCATCGATCCATGGCTAATTTTTACATTTTGATCAATGATTTATGCAGCTCCTTGGGATTTAAAATAAAACAGCACTAGTTATAGTAGATAATGAAATTACTTATATTGAGTTTATACTATACAAAACAAATTATTATTTATTGCAGTACATAGGTATTATTGGAGGATTCATACTAATTAATGCAAAATTTATAAAATACCTAATGATGCCAAATTCACAAATTTAATAAGGACGAATATGGTTATTATTATCACTAATTCATATAGAGAAAGTCTCGGGAACTGGTTTTAACAAAAATGAAGTATTAACTGGGGTGTTTACTAGAAAAAAAATTGCCCTGTTCCTAATGTTTTAATTTTCAAACATTCCCTATGATTGTCCACCTAATTTTGTTGGTTTTACAGTTTCTAGAACCACATAGTGAATACTCCATTTTCTTGAATGAAATTGCATAAAAAAGGCACTTCATAATGAATTTTGAATGGGTTTATAAATTTAAAAAAAAACACTTCAACAATAGGACAAATACAATTTTCACATTCAAATACCAAAAATAAATATTTACGTGCATTTGCCTATACAACGCAAGTGATGACTGCATCGGAAAATATTAAAACATTAGTATCACAACATTGAATTGATTTTCAGTTTTACAAAACACGAATTTTGGAAATACTGCAAAGTGCAAAATATTATAAGTGCAACAGTTTTTTTCTTTGTTGGACTTGTATATTGTACCTACTATAGTTTGTTTCATTGCAGTTGATAGCACAAATTGAGGGGTTTACAATGACTTTATGTTCCTAAACCTCGATTTGAACTATCAACTGCAATGAAACAGACTATAGTTTTTGAATTATCTGACAACAATGTCTTCATTCTTCAACAAAAACAAGTATCGAAATTGTTTCAAAATTCATATATTTCATTACCACCTGTCAGTAATTGTTATTTACATTTTTTTTTAAATATGATCTAGTGTAAATGTTAGGGTAAAAAGTGCAGTGGATCGAATCGAATAAATAATACTTAATAGTAATTAAAAAACATACAGTTACAATTGATAAAAACAGTTTTTTCTATAAAAACAACTACCTACCTGGTTTGAATAGAAAAACCTTACAGTTCATGTACAAAACATATAATTAATAATTTTCACCATCATACAAAAACTGTTGTTGCCCCCATTACTTACGTAAACGGTACCTTTTAGCACATACAATAACAGGAATACATTACAATAATACCACATGTAGGTAATAATAATTTTTCTAATATACCTAATATAAATGTGTAATAATTTAGTTATGGCAGGATTCCTTGCATCAACGCACTCACTTTTAAATAATCAATTTTTACTAATTTTGTAATAAGAAATGGCAGTAAGTAGTAGATTATTGGATCACGTTTTACAGGATGTATAAATCATAATAATATCTTTATAGGGTTTTGATGCAATACAACCAACATAAAAAATTCGAAGAAGGACCTCCTCATGCATTGGCCAGGGGTCAGGCCGGATCGTAAACATTCTTGCTTCTCTACTTCTACTAGTCAGAAAAAATTCTTTCCTTTTGGGTTCAGATATATTCTGGAAAAACTGGAGTACCTAATATTCAAATTTTGAACGTTTCCTGGAGCCGCACCACAGGATTCTTGTCTAGATTGTTCCTTCATTGGTGTAGCCTTTGATTGGCTTCAATTAACATCAAAACCCAAAAATTAGGCTAGTGGTATAATCTAGTATGAAATTTATGAAATATGCATCCTACTAGATAAATTTGAGTAAATTTTTCTAAAACGAAAATTGGAAATTTATGATACGTTGAGTGTATAAAGTGTTGAATGGTATAAATTTTTTATTAATCTTATGCTATCTCTATCTACTACTGGCTATGGAGCCGATTCTGTTTCACTTTTGGTTGTGCCTTCATCTGGGGTACCACACCTTTGGGAACAGCACCGACTATTCGTACCTGGAAAACAATAGAACAATTTCGTACATAGAACTACTGTTTAAAACAAAGTCCTCACCCTGGTAACTTGTCGGTTATCGCTGAATTGGGGCGGCGGTGCGACTACAACTTCTTCGGCGGCCAACAAGGCTTGAGCTTCGTTGAATTCTGGCGGCGGGGGCAGGCAGAATTCTTCTTTTTCGTCTTCGTTTTCGATCGGCGGCGGCAATTGGGCCAATGATACCGCGTGTCTTTTTAGAAGACCTGCAACGAAATATTCGGTATTAATATTTAAATAATTGAATTTAATTGAAGTTTACTTTTGTAGGTACCTGATGGCACATTATTTGGAGGTAGCTCAGAACAGAATGCTTTTGCTACCTTAGTAGGTACACTTGGCCAAACATAAAACTAGTACAAGCAATATATATTTTAAATTTGACTAATGTGAGTCAGGCTTAACAACAAAAAGTCTCTTCTGGTAAAAACTTAGGTCAGACAGTTTTTGTCAATGTCAAAGCTAAACAAAAGTAAATGCAACATGTTTCTATGTTATGATTGGTTTAAATATGACAGGACTTGAGTCTTTCCGTCATTGTTGAGGTGATAAAAAACGATTTACACAATACAACACAATAGGAAAATGCATGATGGCCAATTGTAGGTACTTACTAAAATGATAAAATTTCAAATTTTTCTATGTTGAGATTTTGTATCTAAATAATCATTTGGGACCCCCCAAACTCCATACACTAAATTATTCTGGGATTTGAAGCCGAAATCTATGAAAAAAGGCACTAAAAAAAATTGATAAATCACCCCAAATTGCTTAACACAATTTTATCTCAGGAACTAAAGTGCAAATGTTCTGAAATTTTCAGGGATTGTAGTCCCTTGATTGGAATAAAATTTAGTGGAAGTTTCAGCTTTCTATCTATAATAGAAAAAAAGTTATGACCTTTCAAAGTTTTCCAAAATCTAAATCATTCTTCTTACTAAAACAATGAAATTTCAATTTTTTTTTGTCGAGATTTTATATTCTAATGGTCAATCAATATCCCCCAAACTCCATACACTAAATTATTCTCAGATTTGAAGCCGAAATCTATGAAAAAAGGCACTCAGAAAAATTGAAAAATTGATAAATCACCCCAAATTGCTTAACACGATTTTATCTCAGGAACTATAAGTGCGAATGAGCTGAAATTTTCCGGGATTGTAGTCCTTTAAAAAGAATAAAATTCAGTGAAAGTTTCAGCTTTCTATCTATAATAGAAAAAAAATTATCACCTTTCAAAGTTTTCCAAAATTTAAATCATAAGGTACCTTCTTACTAAAACGATGAAATTTCATTTTTTTTTTTTTTCGAGGTTTTGTATCCTAATGGTGAATTAACATCCCTCAAACTCCATATACTAAATTATTCTCAGATTTGAAGCCGAAATCTATGAAAAAAGGCACTCAGAAAAATTGAAAAATTGATAAATCACCCCAAATTGCTTAACACGATTTTATCTCGGGAACTATAAGTGCGAATGAGCTGAAATTTTCAGGAATTGTAGTCCTTTAAAAAGGATAAAATTCAGTGAAAGTTTCAGCTTTCTATCTATAATAGAAAAAAAATTATCACCTTTCAAAGTTTTCCAAAATTTAAATCATAAGGTAGGTACTTTCTTACTAAAACGATGAAATTTCAATTTTTTTTTTATTAAGATTTTGTATCCTAATGGTCAATTAACATCTCCCAAACTCCATACACTAAATTATTCTCAGATTTGAAGCCGAAATCTATGAAAAAAGGCACTCAGAACTCAGAAGAATTGAAAAATTGATAAATCACCACAATTGCTTAGCACGATTTTATCTCAGGAACTATAAGTGCAAATGAGCTCTAATTTTCAGGGATTGTAGTCCTTTGAACTCAGATGAGCTGAAATTCTCAGTGGTTGTAGTCCTCTACTGGGATAAGAATTGCTGACAATTTCAGCTTTCTATCTATAATAAAAAAAAGTTATGACTTTTCAAACTTTTCCAAAATCTGAATTTACTCCCCATATACATATCTACCCCTCTACCTTCCCCATATCTACGCCCTTGATACGATGTCAATGTCGGTGTCAAACATGTCAGACTCTCGGTTCAAAATAAAATAGTATACATAATTCGGTGGAAAGTTTTCACATTATTGTCTCGAGAATTGATTGACCGAGGTGCGAAGCGCCGAGGTCAACCAATTCAATAAAATCAACAATCAACAATAAAAGACAATTGATTGACACATTTTGTTTTCAAGGTAAATCCTGTAATATAAGTGATCTGTCCATGCATACACATAGAAAGATAGACTTTGCAGAAAGTAAAATGTTCGCCACTTTTTCTGCATTTAGAAAATAATACAAGGTGATTTACATTGCATGTGCATTAGCTTGCAGGTGGATTAGATGCAATCTCTATTAATTACCTACTAATCCATTTGCAAACTTTAAAACTTCTAATGCTCGGACTACATCTATACTACCGAAGAATATGCAGCTGATTATTCCAGCTATAAATAATTAAATCAAAAGTCTACGCAACTGCAAGACTGAGTTTTACATACAACCATTGCTCTCTCCTGAAATTGCACAGACCTTATACATTTCATAATAAACTTACTGGCTTGTGACCTCTGTAATTTGACACTAGAATCCCCATTATTGTTATTGTTTTGATAGTAATCCGAGCCTGATACATTGGTAATCTCTTGATCCGAACTAACTCCCGAAGAACTATTATCACCGTCTTCCACGACTTCCATTTTCTCGCTGGAAGTTTGTTTTTTGAAAAAATCATTCGGATAACTTTTCGACGATTTCAGTTGCAGCCGGGTCTTTTGAATTTCTTCTGCGCTAAAACTTTGCGGTATCGAGTTGCTTCCTGAACTGCTACCACTGTAAAGTTTAAACTATCTATAAAATATTTCTGATTATCGAAAAAACAAACCTTGTATTACTGTTTCCACTATTTTCTATGGGTTGCAACTGGACAGAAGACAATCTGCTAGCTAATCCGGTAATATTCCGTTGTTCACCGTCACTCTCCGCTTCAGAATCCGTACAGCTATAATCAGGCTCTGGGGTAGTCGGCGGACCATGACCCATCTGGACAATATTCGAAGCTGATTTACTGGTAGGTATCTTTTTTCTTTTCCCTCTATTACTAACTGAGGAATTTGATCTAGATGTTGGCATAGGTTGAGCGTAAGGATTCGTTTTTGTTCCTGACGATGGAACGTTAGTTTGTTTCATACTCTGAGATTTTCTCAATATTGGTCTGGACCCTTGTAAGGATTTTGCTCTATAGCCCACCGTTTTCATATCATCCGGTGAGGCATACAGTTTGGCGCTAGCTGAAGGATTGAACGACGAGGCGATACCTTCTGGCAAAATATCCCGCTGCAAATTCTCGGATCTGGGCCTCGGTATTTCAAATTTCAACACGTGTCCTTGGGGTGGTGGCGGTGGAGGATGATTGGGCGGGGGTAGATTTCTGGGTGCGAGAGCTCCCAAATCTTCTTGACTCCTATGATTTTTCATGTTTGGTAAAGTTTGCGAATTCAAATGGGCAACTTCTTGAGCTAAATCTGGTGTACTATGAAAGTTTCTTCTCAATTCTTGCCCTCCTCCGAAAATATCCACAAACTTGCCTTTGCCTTTCGATCGATTTCGTTTCATTTCCGCTACACTAGCGTACACCTTACCTTTTCCTGGCGAACCAACGGTACTAAACTTATTTTGATTCGAACTAATAAACTCTTGGTGTTTTTGATGAAACAAATCTTCTAGAGCAGTATGCGGAACCCTTGTAGACGTAGGCCTTTGTCTTATCGAAGCTGTCCTCGGTTGCGCGGGTGGCGTTTGTTGTATGGATTCCGCGGAACTTGATTTCGTTATATCGTCAGTCTCGTCTCTATCTCCTCCTAAGCCGGCCACTAAGCTTTTCGCTCTCGCTCTCCCAATACTGAGAGTGGTTTTGGGGTCTCTTCTTGGCGGTAGCGGAGCTTGCGAGGACCGGCTCAAAGTACCGATTCCAGTCAGCTTTCGAGGTAGGGTGGAAAATTGTCTGCAACTCGAACCGTCTGGAAATTCGCTTCCTGGTAGGTTACTCGATCTACTCGTGTGCATTGTTCCTTGTGATGTTGGTGGGTCCCAAGTTATGACCTGAAGGATTGAATGCAATATGTAGGTATTAATTGGCAGAAAGGTGAAAAACTAAGTGATTAGAAGAAAATAATATGGTAAAAAAAAATGGTAATAATGGCCAAAGATTGATATGAAGTGTGAAAAGAACTGAAAAAAAAAGTTTAGGAAGTTTGAAAAATTAGAGAAATGCGAGGAAGTCGGAATATGCTCAATGCAAAATTTCGGTGATCAAATGTCATTGAAGGAATACTCACAGTCATTTGCACCAAATTGCCAGATCTCCTAATTAAATCTACTACGTGCTCGTGCGAAGCCGAAGATACATCTTCGTTGTTGATTTCCAAAAGGAAATCGCCCTTTTTTAGGCCCGCCATGTCTGCCACGCCTCCGGGATCGACGTCGTCTAAATACTGTAGAGCGGGACATTTTTCCGAAGGAGTCATTTCCATTAGCGGTGACATCGCTTTGGCGCCGCGTAGAATAAAGCCAAACCCTTTACGGCCCTTGTGGAGCACCACAGTGCGAGGTTCCATACTAATTGAGGAATATCTGGAATAATTTAGTTTATTAAAAATTCCTTTGAGAATCTTCAGCTTTATGCGAAGTGAAATCACTTACTGTTTTTTAGTTCTAGGCGCTGTGGCAAACTGTTTCGACGTGCTCTCCCTACGTCCCAATACTCTACCGACGTGCGAAGAGGGCATTGGCAGTCTGGCATCTCTGGCAACGATCATAGGCGCTTGTATGGAATGCCTCAGCTTGACCTCCTGGACGCAATTCGCCGGAAATAGACCGCTACGATTTCCGGAACTGCGCACGTTGCCTTCCAGGTAACCGTCATCCGTTGCACCGGTAACTGATAATAATAAACGTTTTTTTGTGAAAGTTGAAAGTTTTGTTTCAACGCCTACAAGGGTCAGTACTATTATTATTTAATGGGTTTTGTATATACTAGATGTGTACCCTCTGTCTCTCTGACTTGAATAACTAGAAATTTTGAAATGGGCACTCGAGTATAAACTTGACAATTATCTGCGTCCGCTACAAGTTTAATTGGTCATAATGCTCCAAGATCAACTTTTTTTGTGATTGCCAACAAAGAAAATTATTATGGGTTTTATTGCATATTGCTTGGGCAGGGTATTGAAACTTGAGATTTATCAGAAAAGCGTTGCTGAGAGACTAAGGTAAAAGTTAAGGAAGGTCTTTCAAATTTAAGTTGAAAAAGTGCTCGGCATAATAATCGTACTTATACCCTATACCTATAATAAGTTAATTTGCTGTAAAATTTTAACCATAATATAAGCTCATTATACGATAATAATTAGATAATCCATCATGCAGTTGACAAAATAATGCCTCCTAAACAATACAGAAGATTATAATGAAGCATTACCCAGGGTGGCAATAAATAATATAAACATGTCTGCGGCATAAGTACGCGTATGCACGGTTGATGGCGAAAGAGGCCCACGCAATATTTAAAAAATGACAGCAAATTAAAATTGATTTCGCCAATAAACATTAATCAAAAACTGCCGGGGTATTAAATGCCACGATGCCAGGCAGAGAACATGCAGACATAATGGCGTGTATTGATAATGCAAAATAGAATACCTTCGTTTTAACAATAATTACGGCCAGTATTATGGCTTCTTCGGTGTCCCTAGGGGCCATGAAACGTTTATATTATGCATTGGTGCACAATATAACGCTTGTTGTTGCTGTCACTGACTATTTTGTGTTGGTACTCACCTTCGATAAGTTCTCCCTCTCGAATACTGATGTGTCCCTTCTCCTTAGAGGTGTAGGACTCTAGGCAGACAACAGTACTGCCGGGCATTGAGATGCTACAGTTGGTGGTGTCCGAATTGGCCGTCCCGACGCCGGAGCTGTCACTGATGATGTCGCTGGCGTCTCCGAGACTTTTGTCTGTAACACCCAGTGCGAGCACTGAGATTGGATTACACGAATTATGAACGGAAATGTGATGATTTTTGTAATGAGGTTATTAATAATTATAGCTTTTCATGCCCAGTGCTCAATTATTTTGCTAAACGTTTCAGCAAGCACTCCATACCCAATTTTATTATACATAATATATTTTGGAAACCGGTATTCCTCCGTCAACATATAATTTTGTGCAAAATATGGAACTCAAGCTTCTAATGTCGTGACCAATGGAAAATAATTAGTCAAATTTCTAGAGTAGGTTGGCTTTAACGCAGACTCAAGAATTGCAATCAACAAGGAATAAACACAATGAAAAAAAAGAGTCTTTACAGGGTTCCGGCCCCCACGCTGGGAGCAGCACCTGGGGGGAACCAGACCCCGCTGCCTCCACGAAACCGATACCCATGCCCATTGATGGCCATAAGTACCGACATTGATGACTAATACATACACTGCTTTCGTTAAAAATATAATTCAGTGCAGGTTGCAGGAAAATATATGTCATAGACCTTGTTACATCAAATGTAGAGGTACTATTGTTGAAATATCTGCAAACTTGAAAAATGAGTAAAATCACCAAGACAAAGAAGAAAACTGTTCCAGAAAGTCTTTTCCAACAAGAACTTGACTGCCACTATCGATGAGAAGCTCAGCCATATCGCTGATGTATCTAAGCCATGGGTTGCGAATTGGTGGTAAAGGTATACCCAAACAGATAAATTATCATTGTGTTATCATTCAAAATAACATTAGGATGGTGTGGGCATCATAAATATAGCCAGTGTCGGCGATATGCATAGGCGGATATAAGCGATACTTAGGGCCCCGGGTATCGAAAAATTACTTGAGAAATTCCATAAGTTAGCATAAACTGCATGTATTTTCTTATTTTGCCTATCAGACATACAGCATCGAATATGGATATGGTATTTAGTTGCTCCAAACAAATTTTTCAATAGATAAAGAAGCCATAGATAATTAAAAATTGAACTATTACCGGCTCTTGATTCTCTGGAAAACCAATCAAGAACCGGTAATAGTCAAAATTTGAAGTTTTATTAGGGCATCCAAAGTTCAAGAGCCAATAATAATTAAAATTTCGAATGATCATTAGCAGCTTTTGTTTCATTACAAGGGTAGGGGGGCCTAATTGTGATATTTGCTTACTGGTAGAGGTAGAGGTAACCAAACAGGAATTATCATCAAAAATAACATTGCGGGTCTTCAGAAAAGAGGTTACGGAATGAAAACTTTCACGTTGCCAAAATATTATTGATCTGACCAAACTATTGGGAGATAAACTAGGAAGAACGTTGTCTCCGAGATAGAGTGCAAAATGAAGTAATCCATTGAATAAACGATGTCAGGTGGACTGGAATAACTCAAACTAACTCAAATATTGACGCCAACTTGATGTTGATAAACCGACGACATGAGAAGAATTGCACTGTTACTGTTGCCAGGTCAAAAAAATTAAATTCACCAGAAATTGGAATGAAAAATCACCAAATTTTAAAAAAAAAAAAACACCAGAAATCTTGAAAGTTGATTTTTCAGGAAAATTCTCGCCTCACGGGCTTATATCAAACCAAGTAGACTTTGGAAACATGTATGTATTTCAATGTCGGTATCACAGGGCGCCATATTTAAATTTTAAAATTTTGCAAAGCCTACTTTGTCCCTTGTCAAACAGTATTGCCAACTATAGCTTATAACAAATATTGTGTCAAATTTATACAAAAAAAGGCCAAGTAGGCCTTGCAAATTTCAAATTTCCATAACAGTAATTATATAAACATCGACAACACTGTTGGGCAAAATGTCAAATATTATTTATGACACGCACTAAAATCAAAAACTAAGTGAACCTTGAAGCAATCCTGGGCTGGGATCATGACCAGTAGAATTCTATTTTCATGACGTCACCCGCGTCGACCTATTTATCGCATATTCTACAGGAGATGATCACTGTTGCTACGCAACCTGACGTCATGAAAGTAGAATTCTAGTGGAATTCTACTTGTCGTGATCCCAGCCCAGGTTTTAATCGATGTCGGTAATACAGATAACTGTAAACAAAGGTATTGGAAACAACCCAGCCATTTTAAATTAACTGTCAAAAACTACAGGGCCTACTTTGAAACGTTAAATTGCGTTAGGGTTACTACATTTTTAGACTAGGGTTGCTACGTTTTTAATTTTTCTTCCAAAATCGCAGGCTCATAGGGCCGGGGTCTTTTTAATTTACGAGCCCGAATGGCCGGGGTCTACTTTTACTAAATTTTGAGTTTTTGAATTTTTTTCAAAATTTTCAAATTAAATTTTCTCGGAGCCCGTTAGAGATTTTGGATCAACTTTTTTTGAAATTATAGCTTCCAATAAGGGCTTCAAAATGGTACTCAGTTGAAGTGGTTGGCATTTACAGTTTTTGAGAAAATCGAGTTTGAAGTTTTTGACTAAATTTTAACTTAAATCCAACTTTGAGGCTCAATTGCTCTAAAAGTATTTGCGTTATCAAACTCAATCTAGCACTGATTTATAGAGAATTTAATGCTCTTTCCAACCATATATAATTTATTTTGATTTGTTCAAAATTTAATGGAAGTATTGGCAATTGCTCTTAACCTTGTCAGGATTTTAAAAAATTTAGATCTGAAAATTGAGATTTTCTTTTTGATTTTTTTTTCCCTTTTGAAATCGAGATTTGGAAATGATGTTAGAGTTTTTTTCGACTGATTTAGATCCGCTCTTCGATTGGAGAAGTCAAAATTCAAAAAATCTGAAAAACAAAAATTTCGATTTTTCAAAGGGTTAAAAAACCCCTTTGGATTTTAATTTCAAAATTTTCAAACTTAATTTTCTCGGAACCCGTCAGAGATTTTGGATCATTTTTTTTTGAAATTGTAGCTTCCGATAAGGGCTTAAAAATGGTACTCAGGTTAAGTCGTTCGCATTTACGGTTATTGAGAAAATCGAGTTTGAAGTTTTTGACTAAATTTTAACTTAAATCCAACTTTGAGGCTCAATTGCTCTAAAAGTATTTGCGTTATCAAACTCAATCTAGCACTGATTTATAGAGAATTTAATGCTCTTTCCAACCATATATAATTTATTTTGATTTGTTCAAAATTTAATGGAAGTATTGGTAATTGCTCCTAACCTTGTCAGGATTCAAAAAAAATTTAAACCTAAAAATTGAGATTTTCTTTTTAATTTTTCTCTGTGTTGAAATCAAGATTTTGTAATGATGTTAGAGTTTTTTTCGACTAATTTAGACCCGCTCTATCGATTGGATATGTGAAAATTCAGTAAATATGAATAATAAAAATTTCGAATTTTTCAAAGGGTTACTCCTTTGGATGTTTATTTCAAAATATTTGATCTTGGATATCTTAAAATCTATCAAATATTTTGAGTTAAAATTCTGAGGAAATGTAGCTCTTGATAAGAGCTTTAAAATGATATTTAGTTGAAATCACTGGCTCCTATGGTTTTCGAGAAAATCGAGTGAAATTTTTGATAAAATTTGGACTAAAAGTTAACTTTGAGATCCAATTGCCCAGAAAGTGTTCGAGTTAACGGAACCAATTTAGCATGGATTTATAGAGAATTTAATGCTCTTTTCAACCATATATAATTTGCTTTGATTTGTTCAAATTTCTTTGAAGATATTGGCCATTATTCCTAACCTCCTTGCCAAGATTTGAAAAAATTTCCAGAACAAAAATTGAAATTTTTTAGCTTTTTTAAATCGCCAATTTGAAAGTGATGTTAGAATTTTTATATCCTACTGAACTATTAAAACCATATAATACCTTGGTTACGATAATCATAAACAGGGTCTTAACTCCCAAGGGAGTTAAGGATTTTCATAACTCCCAAGGGAGTTAAGGAAGGGAGTTAAGGATATCATAACTCCCAAGGGAGTTAAGGATTTCCATAACTCCCGCTTTTACCTTGAATAGGTAACACTTTGACAAAAAATAGAAATTTTGATTTATGGCTTATTCCTTTATAAAAATAGACAGAATACAGTAAATTCAGTAGGATATAAAATTATCTATGTACCACGGGAATTATCAGGAGTTAATACCCACGGGCAATTGGTGTCCCTCGGGCCGGAGGCCCTCGGGACACAAACGTTGCCCTGGGGTATTAACACCTGCATAATTCCCTTGATACATAAATAACTATTTCCGATTGATTTAAGCCCGCTGAATCAATTGGAAAAGTCAAAATTTCGAAAATATGAAAAATAAAAATTTCGAGTTTTCGATTGGTTTGACTGAAATCCCCCATAAACAACGCCACTGGCCAAACAAAATACATGTTGCCAACTTGAAAAATAACCGGCCAATATCAACAAGAGCCTAGAATCAACAGAAATTGAAATATAAAAAGGTAAATATATATAAATATATCAAAAGAACAAATACAAATTTATATAAAAATCAAAGGACCTCACACACCACTTATAGGTATTTGGTTTTCTGTCAAACAAATGAAGTTTGTATGTTAATGAAGTAAAATTTTAATACATTACGAGGGATGTTTATAAAGTGTATGCCATTGTTGAAAATTCAAAATTGATGAAATTTCAAAATCACCAGAAATTGCCATTTTTCCAAAAGTTTTTCACCAATCACCAGATTTTTCATAAAATCACCAGATCTGGTGAAATTTCACCAGACCTGGCATCACTGAAGAATTGGCACAAATTGGATAGTCCAAGATCTATGAGAGAAATGATGATGATAAGAGAAGCTTTGACTCGGTAGATAAATGAAATAATGGCGAAATTTTTCCAAAATGTTTGGATGAGATATGAGAACTTAAAATTCTCAACGAAAGTTCACCACCAAGAATTCTTTTAAAAAAAAATCTATTATCCATATTTTTTGTTTCGTAGAGCAGTGTACTAGCTTCAACTTATGCATAAGCGATAAAATTAAATTTTAATTTTGTTGTGTCGTGATCTGTACAGTACAGTGTTAGATACGTAAATATCGCGGAAATGCACCACACGGCGAATAAATGTCGTTACATAAATGCAAATCTTAATAAAACCTCTTTGGTTATGTAAAGTGGTATAATAAATGGCTTACACGAAGATAAAATGGTGTATTACAAGACAAGTCTGTTAACGGTAACTTTATTTTATTTGCCATTTTTTTGAGGCAAAAGTAATTTAGATACTAAATGCAATCCAGCACATCACAAATATCTTCAAGCAAAAATTACAACAAAATTAATGACTGATGGATAAATTTTTTAGTGAAAAATGTGAGAAATCTTACCTGTGACGATGCTAGCAGTGTCAATTTCATGTGGAACGCTTCCGTCGCTGAGGCTCGAACTCGCCGAGCTAAAGGGTAACGAGGATCGGTCGCTAGGACAAGGGGACGGGGGTAGATTTAGGAGTGAAGGTGCTCTTGTCAGCAGTCCGATTGCACTTCTACGTTTCGGGTTGTAGCTGGGGGGTCCACGGAAGGGTACTGAAAAATTAGCAGAGGAAAGGGCACATGCTCATTTTTAAGAACCCGATGATGGTACAAGTATGTTATGTTGAATTTATGAGCCACAATTCAAACTAATCAAAATAAGGTATTTTTTGCAAACTCTGAACATAAAATATATGGTTTTATAATCCTATTAAAATTGGATTCCGCAAGTTGCAGAGCCATGGCAATAAATTTGGGGTGCAGACATTTAGATCGAGAAGGATTTAGGATTAAAGGAAGAGCCGTTGAGTGCTCGGAGAAACTTAAAAGTCTATTATATTGCAGTTTGTGTCATAAATTCAACTTTGGTGTTAAAAATTAGATGAAACGAGCACATTCAAACATTTATGCTCATGCTTAAAACATGATTATTTCTAGCATCAATCTATACCTATTAACTGAAATTTCCATTTGAGTCACAGAATATTTTGTTATTGAAATAAAAAAGCTCTTTTTTACCTGGACCTGTTTCAATACTCGGTATAGATTGTGCACAAATACATGCAAAACAACAACAAATATCCAGCACTCACCGACATCCTCTTCTCGATAATTTTGTATCAATTCGGCCAGTTCCATATTTCCGGCTATCACAGCAACTTGACACGGTGTCTGGTTGGCAAAATTTAACGCTTGGCGATCTGCTCCACGGAATAAAAGTTGTCTCGCGCAGCTCTCTTGCCCGTTGACTGCGCACACGTGCAATGGAGTGTTTCCAGACGCATTGTGCGCATTCATGTCCGCTCCGTAAAAGAGCAGATGTTCCAGGTGTTTGAGCAAGCCGTGCTTGCAGGCTTGATGCACCTCCTGCCAGCCCTGAGAGTCTGCAGAGCCGGTGGTGGCGTGATCGTGGAGTAACGTTTCAGAAAATATCGGTTCGATATTTGGCGTGATTGTAAAGTATAAAGCGGTGAGTCCTTTGTTGTTTTTGTAATTTGGAGAAGCTCCTAATTCTAGGAGGGTTTTCAGGGAGTCTAAGCTTTTGTGTTCCACCGCTCGGTGTAGCGCCGTGGAACCGTCTTTGGTTCTGTAATCTAAAATGGCGCCTCCGTTGACAAGTGCCATCAGGGTTTTTGCTGGCTTTTTGATGCCGGTAGCGATGGTTAGAGGAGTTTCGCCCGATTCTTGACAATGAAAATTCGGATCCAATCCTTTCGAACACATTTTCGTAACTTTCTCCACCTGTCCATTTTGCACGTAATCCAAAAACCGCCTCAAGTTGGCTCTCGTATGTAAACTTTTCAGCTGCTTTTCATCGAGAGAGATCATTTTATACACCCTCCGTTTGTATTTCAGCTAGAGAAAACAAAAAACTTTCGCATTATGTGAGAAATATAATGTATGATAGTTAATGGGAAAGTTATTTTATATACATTATTAGGCGTCTACATTCTATCAGTTAGGGGTCAAAGGTTTCTTTTCAATTCCTTCTTAGGGTGTTTTGGATGGTGAATGCACTTTAGAAACCCCTATAAAGTGTCCATTCTAGCTGATACCCCTTTATTATCTAGGAAAGTGAAACTAACAAAACAAACGTAGTTAAAAAAATGAGCCGAGGTTTTCTAGGTGAGTATAGAATAGATATAATTGGATAGATGAGAAACTTATGTATGTTTTAGAGCCGGATTCTATGAAAAAAGGCACTAAGAAAAATTGATAAATCACCCCAAATTGCTTAACACGATTTTATCTCAGGAACTATAAGTGCAAATGAGCTGAAATTTTTAGGAATTGTAGTCCTTAAAATGGATAAAATTCAGTAAAAGTTTCAGCTTTCTATCTCTAATAGAAAAAAAGTTATGACCTTTCAAAGTTTTCCAAAATCTAAATTATAAGGGGAGTACCTTCTTACTAAAACGATGAAATTTCAAATTTTTTTTTGTCGAGATTTTGTATCCTAATGGTCAATCAACATACCCCAAACTCCATACACAATATGATTCTCAGATTTGAAGCCCAAATCTATGGAAAAAGGCACTCAGAAAAATTGAAAAATTGATAAATCCCCCAAATTGCTTAACACGATTTTATCTCAGGAACTATAAATGCAAATGAGCTGAAATTTTCAGGCATTGTAGTCCTTTGAAAGGGATAAAATTCAGTGAAAGTTTCAGCTTTCTCTCTATAATAGAAAAAAAGTTATGACCTTTCAAAGTTTTCCGAAATCCAAATCATAAGGTAGGTACTTTCTTACTAGAACAATAAAATTTCAAATTTTTTTTTGTCGAGATTTTGTATCCTAATGCTCAATCAACATACTCCAAACTCCATACACAATATGATTCTCAGATTTGAAGCCGAAATCTATGGAAAAAGGCACTCAGAAAAATTGAAAAATTGATAAATCCCCCAAATTGCTTAACACGATTTTATCTCAGGAACTATGAATGCAAATGAGCTGAAATTTTCAGGCATTGTAGTTCTTTGAAAGGGATAAAATTCAGTGAAAGTTTCAGCTTTCTATCTATAATAGAAAAAAAGTTATGACCTTTCAAAGTTTTCCGAAATCCAAATCATAAGGTAGGTACTTTCTTACTAGAACAATAAAATTTCAAATTTTTTTTTGTCGAGATTTTGTATCCTAATGCTCAATCAACATACTCCAAACTCCATACACAATATGATTCTCAGATTTGAAGCCCAAATCTATGGAAAAAGGCACTCAGAAAAATTGAAAAATTGATAAATCCCCCAAATTGCTTAACACGATTTTATCTCAGGAACTATGAATGCAAATGAGCTGAAATTTTCAGGCATTGTAGTCCTTTGAAAGGGATAAAATTCAGTGAAAGTTTCAGCTTTCTCTCTATAATAGAAAAAAAGTTATGACCTTTCAAAGTTTTCCGAAATCCAAATCATAAGGTAGGTACTTTTTTACTAGAACAATAAAATTTCAAATTTTTTTTTGTCGAGATTTTGTATCCTAATGCTCAATCAACATACTCCAAACTCCATACACAATATGATTCTCAGATTTGAAGCCCAAATCTATGGAAAAAGGCACTCAGAAAAATTGAAAAATTGATAAATCCCCCCAAATTGCTTAACACAATTTTATCTCAGGAACTATAAATGCAAATGAGCTGAAATTTTCAGGCATTGTAGTCCTTTGAAAGGGATAAAATTCAGTGAAAGTTTCAGCTTTCTATCTATAATAGAAAAAAAGTTATGACCTTTCAAAGTTTTCCAAAATCTAGTTCATAAGGTAGGTACTTTTTCCCTCCCCAAGATAACTAAAGGGAGTCTACATAACCTGATTACTGTTTGTTTGGCTTACCTCCAAATATCCCACAGGTCCATTGAACGGATAGTCTCCAAGGCGCCGTTCTTCATCCAAAAACTTTCCGGCTCTGCCATTTTCAGGAGGGAAAAACAGGCCGTAATTGAAACTCTCTTTCAGCTCCTATACAACAAAACTTTGGTTATTTAATAAAGTTTCAGTAATGTGAAAAAAAAGAACAGATAACTAGAAAATGCGTCAAGGACAATAGGTACCATATACTATAAAAGAAATGGATTAAAATAGGTACATAAAAAAGTGTATTAAGTGTGTGGTATAATGGTTAACCATTAAAATGATTTATAATCTTCATGAATATGTTTTTGCCCTATGTTGTTTTTAGAGCCCATCATAAAATTCGAAACAACAAAAAGTTTAGTGTTCTCCTCACGGCCTGTTCAACTGCACAGTGCACGGCGATAAACTTTTATTGTGTACCTTGTATATTATTGAATTGCTGCTGCTGCTGCTGCCAATTATTGATGTGACACGACACGCTTATTTTTATGCATTTGCTATAAACTTTATAGCTTTTGAAGCTTTTTTTTGCTTGCACCCCACAATCAATAAAAAAGTTTAATATTAATAATAAAATTGTTTTACGGGTTCCAAATTCTTCAGTACAGAAGGTGGGTGTTGAATAATTTGTGTCGAAACATTATATTGTTATGATATTGAAAAAATCTGTGGAAATTTAATGCAAGTCTTCTACGTATGGGTATAATTTATTTTCATCAAATAACGGCTAACTCGGTAAAATAATAAATAATTAGTCCTAATTATTTATTATGTATACCCACCACTTTACAACAAGAACAAGAAAGATTGCGCCATGTTCAAACCGAAAAGATAATGAAAAATGATGCAGGCATGCAATTTATAATAAATTTATATTAATTGTCCCAATGAATTTATTTTACGTCAAGACTCCGACTCGGTTTACCTTTATCTTCGAGCTATATACACGTTGGCATGACTTTTAATTACTGCTTTTAAGAACACATTTTTGTCAGCTCAAAAAAAAATACGCTTTTGCTAAATAAGCAGGCGTATAATTGCATAGGTTTAATTACAAAAATTTCCAAGGAAATTCATTTTGCTTTCGCACACATATCCAGTATACTAAAGGCAAATATTTGAGGACAGGTGCTATAAGCCTAAAGCTAAAGTAATCCCCAAACTGAACAAATCTTTATTCTGGATAATGCAATGCCCTGTGTTGACTGTATGGATATCAGATTTTCAAATAATAGGTACAGTGTTTTGAGGACTTTGATAGGTATTATTTGTCATAAGTGTGTAGATTATTAAATAATTATTTGATGATAATATTAATGCGTACTTGGAAAATTGTTTGCTTTGTTTTATCAGGTATCTTTATTAGCTGAAACAAAACCGTGAGTTATTTGATAAGAAATGATGACTACCGGAATCATTACACAAGATCTGCTTGATTAGAAATTTTAAGCACCAGATATCCAAATATATTGAATTAAAAATAAATAATAACTAGAACATAATTTTTCATTTGAAACTATTCTCAAGTCAATAAGCACACAGCTTATTTTTCAAAAGAACGAAACCGAGCAGCAAGAGGAGAAAAATCCCGAAGGAGATTCTTTTACGGGTCATCGGTCAAGTGGCCTGTACCGGCACCGAGGCCGCAGGTATTCAATATACGTAGCCAAGGAAAAGACTTTTCGTTGTGCCTTGGGTCTTAGGTGGATGATTTACTAGAATATAACTTACAAGTTTCAGCTATGGCAGTTTAAAATTTATTACAAAGTAGATATGAGGACTGGCAGAGCCAATTATTTATAGACTTCCTTGTCTTTTGTCAAAAAAAAAAAAATTGAATAACTGGAATCTTTATATTGTAATCACCTGGAAACGTTTTGTTTACTCACTCATGGCCAAACGCTTTAGAATTTATGATGTCATGCTATTTTAGTTATACTCATTGTTCTAAAATAAAAAGGAGATAACACTAATTAGGTGTATATATCTAAACCTGTATTCATTGATGATAAACGATTTGGCGCCAGCCGAATTCCGAATAGAAAAATTAATAATTTCTATTGAAATGATACAGGTAGATATTTGAGTCATAATCAATGCATCCTTGTGAGAATAATAGGTATTTATCAATCTTATTGATCATGTAAGTAGAGGTAGGTATGTAATATACCTAATCAGTGAGTATTTTGATGGTGAATACCACATGGCTAGGTTCATGCACTACCTACTAGTTATTTAGTTCAAATTTACCTAAATTCAGGAACAAAAAATATTAGCATAAACTATAATATGTATAGTTTGAGATTATCCTGCTAATTAGAAGCAAAACAAACAAGTGCGTGCATTTTAAACATGCAAAGTATACAGACAGGACCAGGCTACTAGACACATAGGGTCATATACATAAAACACGAGCATATGCTTTTGGGATATATAAACATATTCAGCTTCAATGTAGCAAAAAGAGACGGAGGGACTTATACCCATTTCACTGTCATGTTGGATCATTGATATCGTCCCTGCAAATTCGTATAAGCTAATTCATCTTATTATTTCCTATGTATCTAGTAGGTTGGTCCGGTGTGTATACCATCAGCTACGTTTGAGTACCTACCCGAAACCAACCTGCCACCTGATGCGCGTGCCATCAAAATGAAACACAAAATAAAAAAATAATAAAAATACATGGCTGTGTGAGTTAATACAAACTAAAATGGCACAAACAAACCATTCCGACTTCGTTTTCCCTTTGCCAATACTTCTCCAGTACACTTGAGGGTTGACCCTAAACAAATCAATATAGAGCTGGGACCCATTTCAATAGTTAGTGTTTTAGGTCCTTATTGATATACTAAAAGTCCCCATTCATCTGCCGCCAGGCCGCCATCTTGTTTTTTCATGATTTTTTTCAGAAAAAGTAACAATATCTCAAAAAAAACTCATTTTTTCAAAAAAACTCAAGAGATGAATATTAAAGAACATAAAAAAATCACACTATAATAGTATATTACAATCCGAGGCGGGAAATGCTTCATTACTGGTCGACAGGTTTTATAGTTTATCGAGACGCGTAGCGTCGAGATAAACTGAACCTCGAGACAGCAATGAAGTTTCCCGTCGAGGGTTGTATACTATTTTATTTTTAACCATAATTTCTTGAAAAAAAAAAAATTCGGGGCAACCAAATGAGGTCGGCAAATGAAGAGGAAAATGAGAACGGGAAATATTTCCCTGCTCGATTTTCCGTCCGTGGACGGGAAATGAGGTCGGAAAAAATTTCCCGTCCTCACTTCCCGTCCTGGGACAGGTAATGGAGCAGGAAAATGAAAAGACAGAAATGTGATATTTTCAAATTTTTGAAAAGTCAGTAATGACAACATTTCATATATGGTTAAAAATAAAATATTTGTTTCTATTTTTTCACAGTTTTGCCACACAAATTGGAACAAAAAACGTTTGCTCTTCTGCAACTGCAAAACCATCGACAGTTGGTTTTACAGTTGCAAAAAATAAGTTATAAAAGAAAATTTGGGACTATAGGTTGTCATCACCTGAGTTATAAGCACGTTATGTTGCATGATTCATCCGCATTGTTTTGGATCGAGATTATCGCTAAGCCAAGCTTGAACTTGCAAATTAACCATTCCAAAATAGTGTTTGGATGCATTATTAGTTGGAGGAAGCACTGCGAGTTCAAAGTTTGCCTGGGCTGGGACTCTGTAACGAATAGAGATATTTTCTCTATCCCCACTGATATTTCCTCTCTGTTGATTTAGACAAGAGAAAAGAAGACAGCAAGTGCCATAGCGATAGAGATAACAATTTCTATCCGTTACAGAGTTCCAGGCCTGCAAACTTTAACAAGCTGTTATGGTACTGTATTTTACAAACCCTATAGATCGTTCAAGGATTTACTAGTTTTCTTGGCAACATATAATTCCAACAAGAACTTTTCTCCACTACTTATAATATAATTTCTTAAGGCATTGGGATTTTCAAATCCAGCCAGGTCCTTTTTGTTTTCCAGTATTTTAATGGCTTTTTGTTTTCCTTGTTAGACCCGATACTGTATCACACCCCTGTTGCAGCGTGTAAAAACAAAATATGTTCTTTTATTGGGACAAGTTTCCAGTGCAGTTGGTATACATCTGTAACTTGGACAAAATTTCCTAACTTTCCTGTCCAGGAACTCCGTGTCATATAGAATTCTACATATCGACAGGATTGTACAGGCTCGGCCCTATGTGCGGCATTCATATTTTCGATATGTCGAATACTATATGGCACGGAGTCCCACAACTGGTCAGACCATATAAAAACCACTACATTAGCCCTATTAAATCTGTGTCATCCCCTACCAAGGTTACTGTATTGTCTTTTTCTTCCATTGTTAAAGCTGTCTTTATAATGTCAACGTCAGCATCGCTTTCACGTTGAAGAACGGAATTTGGAAATTAGGGCTGAAACAAAATGCAAAATTGTTGAAATTATTCAAAAATGTATCCTTAGCTAGTGTCAATACTGTAGTATCTGTATACCGGGTGGGGCGCGAAAAACTTTCCACCCAGGTTTTCTCAGGTGTTAGGTGTTTAATCAAAAATCGCATAGACACGTCAATTTATGTTTTTGGGGGGACACATTTTATTGATATTCCCACAAAATTTCAAATGAAAAGGGCGGTCGAGTGATACGTCATTTGATAGCTATTTTCATTAAGATTATATCTCCGAAGTTTTAAGTTGCTACTATTTACCCTGTCGAAATGGCGGCTTGCCAAAGTTAGGAAAAATCAATGGAAAAATGCTGTTTGGTGTTTACCTGTTACCTACGCATAGGTGTGGCAGGTAAAAACTATACAGGTTAGATTAACGAAAAATAGCTATTTATATAAAGTACATAAAGTAAGGCTTTATTGTACGAGTAATTTTATGGCCGAGCGAGCTTGCGAGCGAGTCGATAAAGCCTGTTTATGTAAGCGTTATATACATGATTTTATGTACGATTGCGACTGGTTTTTGTTAAAAATTTAAAAAATCCAATGAAAAAATGGAAATTCGCGTAGGTATACCTGTCTCACCTTGGCAAGTTGTCAGGACCTGTTTCAC